GGATCTGATCGCAGACATTGTAAACTAGCCGACCAGGACTCGACCTCCCGGCTCTAAGATTGTTCGGTTACGAAAATACTTTTAAACAGATCTCATTAAATCGGATGCTCCCCATAAACATTCGTCGTGTGTATTTCATGTGTCCAGCCCGCTCAACCCTCTCGCTCCGAACCCTTAGACAGAGGAAGATCATTTTCAAAATTCCTACCGGGACACTTTGAGGGCGGGGCTGGGGGGGGTGCCTAAATGGGTTCCGCCCACAGGCTTCCGGTGAGTGCGCACGTACTCCGCGGCCCGTTTGTGCAGCCTCCCTAGCGTTCCTGTGGGTGGTTATTTCGGTGACGGACTAACTACGGGTGCCCGGTGGGCTCTTGCGGAAGTCCTTTCGCCACTGGGAGGGACTCGGCGGCTGCTCTATGCCCTTGTTGCCGAGGGAGTCTTCCTGGGTCATTGCGGGAGCAGGAGTCGGACTGGGGCCGACACGGGGCTCCCACGTGGCCGTCTCGGCGCCTGTGTGTGGTCTGCGCTGGCGGGATGTGGCGAGCACGCCGGGCGGCAGTGGCCTGGTAAGTGCGGCCTGCGACCTGGCCCCGTTATGTCATGGTCTGGGCCGTTTGGACAGCGGGGTTGTCCCATCACTACTTCCTGAATGTGCAGGTGACCCTCAGGCCAGGCCGAGGCTCTTAAGAGAATTATAACATATGTTTGAGCACCCGAAACTGACAGCACCTGACCGGTGACCACTCCTTGTTCAACTCGAAGATTTTGGACACCTTCAGTCTTGGCCCGTCATTGCTGTCCCCTTTGCCTCTGCCCTTGTGATCCCTCTGTTAGCTCTGCCCCAGTTGCTGCTTTTATTGTTGCTGTTCTCTCCCGGCCCGTCTCTTATCTGTGCGTGTCACTGAACTGTCGTCTTCCAGCCGTATGCCATGTCCACTTTACACTTGCAGCCACTTTGGCTCTTCTGTGTGAAAGGTATCTGTCAGTCTGCCTGTTTGCCTCACCCTCTGGCTAGAGTCAGATCTCGAGCAGTGACGCACATAAAGAGATGCCCTCCTCAGAGGAGATCTTGTGCAGCGTTGAGCTACACTTTCAGGTACAACGTGCTGCGTGCGGCGCCACTTTTCTAACCACGCTGCTGTTGTTGCCCTGGTCTGGTTTTGAAGTAGAAAAATCATAAAATATTTTGATATGTGTGGATTGCCGTATGCACTTTAATGTTACCAAATTTGGTGTTATATATGTAATTCGTTCCCGTATTTGTTTCAGACGTTTGATGGTAGCAAGTTATATGCACCAAGGAAGATTGGGAAATGTAGTTCTCCTGAATTAACTTCACCTTTAGACGTTGATCTTAAATTTTATTTAGAACTTTTAAAGGATTTTGGTTTAATTATGTGTATGGGAGGGGCTATCTGTGCAAGAGTACAGGTGCTCTCTCTGGGCAGAGGGGTAGGCAGATGGAGTTACAGGCGATTGAGCTGCCTGACGTGGATCCTGGGGACCAAACTCAGGTCCTCTGCAGGTACAGCAAGCATTTCTAATCATTCCATCCATCTCTGCAGTCCCCGGAACTTTTTTTTTTTTTAATGTGTACATCTGTTTTGCCAGCATGTATGCCTGTGTGTTATATATGTCCACTGCCCATAGCTACCAAATCACAACGTTTAGCATGCTGGGACTGGAGTGACAGACAGTAGTGAGTCGTCGTGTGGATGCTGGGAATCCAACCTTGGTCTTCTGGAAGGGCAGTCCTTTTTCTTAACCAATAAACCGTCTCTCCAATAAATTATCTCTCCAGCCCTGCCCTCAGGAACTTCCTTTTTAATGGTGTAAATGATTTTATTTTACTTACAGAAAGGAACCCATTTGTTTTGTCAGAGTTAATTAAGAGTCCAAAAGTGGAACCACCTTTGCTACAATGTGGTTCTTGTTAATCTTGTGGGATTTAAAGTATGAGTAAACTCACAATCTTTGGTATTGAAATAAGCTATCTGCAACTTTTGCATTTTCACCATTTTATAATTAATGTGGAGATATTTCTATTTTCTATAAAATAGAGAAAATGCTGAAGATATCATATTCATTTTAAACAACAAGGCATGTAGGAAACACTTTAAATTGAGTTGACAAACAGATGTATAGTTTGAGTTGTTTATTTAATCAGTTATGTACCATGAGGCTGAATTGTTCCTGAAATTAGGGGTTCCACAGTCATGGCTTTAGCAAGTCTCATGCCGAAGCACAGCTTAACTAATGGCAGAAATGGGTATATGAAAACCGGAAAGCCCCCAAGCTCAGGAATTTGCCTTTTGCTGTAGTTCCTCTGCAAGTTCTATCTGAAATATTGCAGCTTAGTACTACTTTAGTCGTAAGATGGAAACAGATTTTTATATACACATAAAAATACTCCTCCTAGACAAGTCAAAATGAAGACTGGTGGCCAACATTGTGGGGGGTGCAGTAAGTATTTGTTCTATATAGGTAAAAGATGTGGTAGTTGAGCAAGAGATGACTCATGGTGATCTACTTTACATCACATTCGAATTTTGTTTTTAAGTTTCTTTAGATAAAGAAGTCTTTTTCTCTTCATAGCCACTTTTAGGATCTTTCTTGACTGTGTCCTTTGTCTCAGATTTCTTAAGGCTTTGTTCAGCTGTGGGTTTTCTTTTTCCTCAGTTGTCTGGCTTGACCTTTGATTTAAAAAAAAAAATCTTTCTTCAGTTCTGCAAAATTTTTCTTCAGCTTTACTTTCTTCCTCCCATTGCAACTGTTCTTTTTCTTTCTAAATAATTTAAAAGAATATGAGATTGCTTAGGTAGGTCCATTATGTTCTTCATTTCCAAAATAAAGAGATGGAATCCCTTTTTCTCTCCACACGTTTTAAAAGATATAAGGTTACCTCTCTGCAAGGATTCATTCATGTTTTCTCCAAGCTACACAGTTAACCATTGTAAAAGAGAAAATGTTTATAATGTACCAAGTTGTCAGCCAAGTCATAAAACTGCATGTTGTAAAGCCTTTTTATATTACAGTCCGTTTATGAGTATGCCCAAACTCTACTGAAAAAAATAGCAGTCTCCAAACCTACAAAGCGCCCAGAGGTGCTCAGTCATATTCATAGTCAGGGCTTCATTCCCTGAGCCCAGTGGACCATTGCTGTGTACCCCATGGGCTGCATCACACCTCTCATTCCCCTAATTCTCCATTCCCTTATCCCAGTGGACCATTGCTGTATATCCTGTGGGATGCATTATTCCTCCAATCTCCCTACTTTGCATCATAGCTTTTATGTTTTCTACATTTTTTCCTTATTCTGCATCCTAGGCAGTGTCCTTGATTATTTTCTGCTGTTGATGTCTATGCAAGTGCTGCTTTGCTTTCCATAAACTGCTTTTTTGATATTCACCAAGCTCTTTTTTAATGTTTAAATCTATAAATGCTATATTCTCTAATATTTTTGAACATGTTCTTATTTAAGTTTGCAGTATTTTCAGGATTCCTGTCCATACCAGTGATAGCATGCTAAGAGCTGCTGGTTTGCTGCAGGGGTCTGGTTGTCTGGTGGCATTTAAACATGAAGGGCCAGGGGCTGATGCAGATGCTCTGACCATGCTACGTTTTCTTTACTGATTATTTCACCTAGCAAATTTCCTTTTTGGACTTTTATGGAATACGCAGGCAGGTGGTTCGAACCTGTTACAAAAGCCAGAACTGGTGACAGCTCCCCCTGGAAGCCTCCTCCACACATACACATGCATTTAAGATCCCCAAATCCCCAGGTCTTCCCTGACAGACTGCTCAGCTTCCAGAGGCAATTGCTGTCTTCCTGCTCCTTTTACCATCTTACCTATATATTATGAATACTTTGTTGTGGGGCTGGAGAGATGGCTGCTCCTCCAGGGGACCTGGGTCTAAATACTGTCATCCACATGACAGCCCACAACCATCTGTAACTCCAGTTCCAGGAAGTCCAATGCTTCATCTGACTTCTGCTGATACCATGTACACATGTGGTACCCCGACATACATGAAGGCAAAACACCAATAATAAAGTAATAATAGCATTTTTAGGACTTAAAAAAAGGAAACCTGATGAAAACTAGCTTTCCCCTGGGTGAGCTTTGTCTGCCTTTTGAACCGGAAGCTCTAGACAATGCCTGTCTTAGTACAGGGATTTGTTCTGAGTCCATTATGCCTCCAGAGGACAACTGAAGACATTCTACATCTAATTACTGACCTGGAATATCCTGTCCCTGACTCTCATGGTTATTGCTGTCACCATTGTGAAAATAGGAATAGTTAAGGATATGGAGAGAAATGAGGGAGAAAACAAAGACATAAATTCCCTAGGGCTGCAGTTGGCCTTAGAGTTCATCTAGGTGGGGTTATATTTAGGTTAGCCCCTTTCAGAAAAGGAGAAATCAGTCACTCATTCACAAACTGATAAAGTTCAATAACAATTAATACTGAAGTGGCACTAAACCATTACTCTAAGCAGCCTTTGGTAAGTTTTTTGTAGGCCCCAAGGCGAGAAGGAGGGTGACACAGTTAAAAAAAAAAAAAACCTGGGTCACAGCAAAGGTGTGTCCTGCAGAATCCAGATAGCAGGGCCTCCATACTGTCCTCACAGCCCCACATCCAGTGTTCCCTGAAACACTGTTTACACAGGTGCTTGTAGTAAGAGGCTACTTGTTTGTTTCCGGCTGCTCAGCCCTGAAAACAGTACACAGAAACCATATTACTTGCAATACTGTTTGGCCAATAGCTTAAGCATATTTCTGGCTCACTCACATCTTAAAATAACCCATCTCCATTAATCTGTGTATCACCATGAGGCTGTGGCTTACCGGGTAAAGTTCCGGCATATGTCGTTTGTCTCCGGAGGGGCTACATGGCTTCTCACTGACTCCACCTTCTTTCTCCCAGCATTCAGTTTAGTTTTCCCTTCCTAGCTCTATTCTACCCTGTCACAGGCCCCAAACAACTTCTTTATTAACCAGTGATATTCACAGCACACAGAGATGAATCCCACATCAGGTGCTGCTCTCCACACTTCCCCAGCATCATCTCTTGTGGAAAGAGCTCAGACTTTATTACAGAACTGAACCTGGTTTCAGCCTCTCTTTCACTGTTAGGCAAGACATCATTTTTAAACAGGCAGGTTTATAACAGGAACTATTTATTCTTTTGAGTTTTCCCTTCTCAAGTTTGTGAAAGTACCTAGCATAATATCTGGGACATAGCTAGAAACAAGACCTGAAGCCTGTGATGCCTTTTCTGTGTAACTGGACGAATGGACATTCTAACACTACTTAGCATTGGGCCTCACCAACAGGATGGAACCAGATGGGGTTGAATGAGATAGGGCATGTAGGTCTTGTGCCAAAGAAGGGTAGGGTGGAGCGCAGGCCCTTAGCGTGTACATTGTAGGATCCTCATCTTTTGAAGGCTGCTCCAATACTTGCATTTTCCTAAGGAACCAGGTTTTTGAGACAAGATTAATTTAGTTTCTATCTCTAGGCTAATTTAGGATTAGGAGGCAGAACAAGCAGATATTCTTGACTGCTAGAATTTTTGTCCTTAAAAGCAGAATTTTGCATGCCTTTTTGTTACCAGCTGTTACAGTGCACAGCTGTTGGTAAACTAGTGCTCACCTCTTCCTTCCTTGGTTTCAGTTCCTTGGACCAGTAATATCACAGCCCATGTAAATAAATTAACATGTAGAGTCTGGAGTCCCCGAGCCTGGACTTATAGTTCATCTTTATTTCTGTGTTACTGTCTTCTTGGACAAGTTGTGTTTATATCTCTGTGCTATATTGTCCCTCATTTGTAGAATGGGGCTAGTGTAACTATTCATGGTAGGGAATGAATGAGCTGGCACACAGCAAATGCAGACTACCATGTGATGGGACGTGGTGTGTCAGTATACAGGTGTGCTCTTTTCTCTCAGTTCCTAGGCATTGTTACTTTCTCTGATGTGTCTCCCATCCTTGTTTGTTTTTCAGTGAAGTCTGCCAATCACTAGTGAAGCACAGCTCTGGAATACAAAGAAACTTACCACTCCAGAAACTACATCTGGTTTCACGAAGTATTTATCGGTCACATCTTCCCACTCTAAAGCTTCAAAGACCCCAACTAAGGACATCATTTCAGCAGTTCTCTTCTCTAACTAACCTTTCTTTGCATAAATTAAAACTTTCTCCTATTAAATATGGCTACCAGCCCCGCAGGAACTTTTGGCCAGCAAGGTTAGCTGCAAGGCTCTTAAAACTTCGATATATCATACTGGGATCTGCTGTTGGAGGTGGCTATACAGCAAAAAAAGTGAGTTTACTTTCTTATTATAGTTGTAATTATTCCAAAATATCATAAATTTGTATAGCATAGGAGAAAGGAATTGACATTTTTCTTTAGTGAGTAAAATATAATTAGCTGTTGAAACATTTACTGTGTATATTTACAATGTCTTATGTTGTTTCAGTGGTGCCATTAAATATTAACAATAATTATAAATGATCTGAAGATGGAGCCCTAGTCTGAGAGTAAGAAAGCTTAAATTTGGCTCTGAACATTGCCACTTAGCAAAGGAGAGAAAGTTGGGTGGTGTGTTCACAGGGCTGCTTCTAAGAGCCCTGAGTCCAGAGGCAAGGTGATTTCTCACTGATCCATCTTTCTTTTGCTTCATGGTGTTATTTAATGCCAGCACGAGCCCTGTTTGAAATAGAGTTTTGAATTTTACATTTCTCACATTTGATAGAAGAATATTTGCTTTCATTCTATATACTCACCTATTGATTTGTTCTTAAAAGACCTGGACTTACATAGATTTGTTCCATAAGAGTTCTGTACATGATACATTTCCTAGTAGATTGTTTTCATCGACCTGATTTCTGTTTTTATTGGGTATGGCACTTAGAATACCTGATTGACATATGTTCTTGTCTTTTAGACCTTCGATGAATGGAAAGATATGATACCAGACCTTAGTGACTATAAGTGGATTGTGCCTGACTTTATATGGGAAATTGATGAGTATATTGATTTGGGTTTGTATCATCAACACTAAAATTAGCTTTTGCATTGTTTTGGGGAGGGACGGGAGTAGAAATAAGTGCATTGATAGTTTTAGCTTTTGAGTCTAATATGTGATAGTTTTATTTTAATAAAGTTATAATCTATAAAAGAAAATTTTTATTACACTTATTTATATGTGTGTGGGTGTGCAATCACTTGTGTGCACATGTGCATGCATGTAAAGATCAGAAGACTTTTTTTTTTTTAATTAAAAGGGATCCTATGGATACAGGGACAAACTCAGGTTGACTGGCCTGATAACAAGCACTTTTACCCCACTGAGCCATTTTGCCAACTCAGAGAATAAAAGTATGAGACTCAGTACCCAGCAGTCTGCTATTTTAACATGGCTGCCACCACTCTTGTGAAATATTTTCTTTTGGTTTTGCTTATTAGTTGAATGTGGCTAACATTTTGCTTTCTTATTTAAAAATTACATGGCATATGTACCTTGACATTTTGTATTTTGCTACCTAGCACATCCCCTCTGCATTTCCATGCTTCTAGCAGCCTTTCCAGACACCAGTTTTAGTATGATGCAATATTGCCTGCATCTTACATACTAGGACCCTGACCAAAAACCCCTCTCTTTGGCTAACTGCTTTGGTTATTTGTGCTTTCTGCAGACAAGTTTCTTTAAAGTCTGTTAGTGGCTTCATCCCTTAAAACCCCACCTCTCCCTTTGACAAGTAGGTGAAAACAGCAATAGTTGATTGCAACTAACTCATGATGAGCTTAAAAAGTTTGGCATATTTTCTTCAGTCCCTTTTTGAGATCTATGGGGGTGGAATTAGTCTGCATAAATCTCCATCCTAGTACGTCTTAAAGGTAACCATGTAACAAAGGCATTTTTAGGAAGGGGACAGTTTTGCTTTTTAAAATAGTATACATGTCAGTACTGTGCAATACTGTATTTGCCAGTGTCCTAGTGTAGTAACGGAGAGTCTGGATTTGGAGCTAGGCTGCCTGGTCTTGAACCCCAGCTCCCTCACTTCTTTGCTGCGTGCTCTAGATTTTCATCTCTTAAGCAGAGTTGACAGTGGGAAGTCTTTTGTAGGACTAGCTTGAGGTTTAAACAAGTTGACACATTTATACCTAATATGTTTGCTGTTTCCTACTTTAAGACTGCTTGTGATTCCTGTTTTCATCTTCTCTAGACAAAATTAGAAAAGCCCTTCCCAGTTCAGAAGACCTTGCCAAGTTAGCACCCGACCTGGACAAAATTGCTGATAGCCTCAGCTTATTGAAGGACTTCTTCACCACAGGTAAGGGGAGACTTTTCAACTGACTTCATGACTTAGGAACCTCATGGATGGTCTTATTTGTTCTCATCTTTTAAATTAAAGCATTTTAAAACAAACCCAAAAGCATTTTGTTTTAACACAAGATAAACGCAAAGTTTGCACAATACTTTTAATCATTAGCCTAATCAAATGAAAATTTGTAAGAATGTGTGCTTCCCTTTTAGTTGGTGAGTAAGAAAATATTGCTTCTTGACAAGTGGATGAGACTACCTATGCATTTGCTTTTCATAACTGCTTAGAGCCAGTATTGTTACTTTGAAACAAATTTAATAGTATAGGTCATATATGGTACAATTCATAAGGTTTTTTTCCCTTATTGCCCAAGTGTTGCCCTAATATAATATAAGTCTGATATCTCAGACCTCTTTGCTTATTCTTATTAAATTTTTATTTCCCCTTTTGCTGATTTTTCACAGGTCACAAATTGGTTAGTGAAGTCATAGAAGCTTCTGGCCCACTTCTCTTGTTAGGTGTGTAACCAGACATTTTCGCTGACCTTAACATGCCCTTTAAATGCTTCTAATACACTAGGCACAAATAAGATTGCAGACCAAATTTATAATCCTGCTTATATATGCTGATCTTTAAACCCAGAACTATATTAGACAAACTTATATCCTTTTGATGGAAATAGTAAAAAAAAAAATACATTTATGACAAAATTAAAATTGCTAAATACATGACATAAAATTATTTAAAGAAAATTTGCTTAGCCAAAGTGTTTTCTTGAAAAAAATTTTTTTGATAATTGAAATGAAAAGTAATTTTAGCTTGTCTCATCTGCCCTGTCATAGTGACATTAAATTTGCTTTGTATCATATACATTGTCTGATGGCAGTGGTACTTGACTAAACTGTAAGTGGTCCCTTTAAAAAAAATCCTTACCAAAGACTTCTCATTTTTATCATAATTTTCACTTATACTTTAAAAATGAGTTAATTTTAAACATTTTTGACATTGATTGCCAGTAATTTTCTTAAAAATAAAAATGTATTCTTTGAACCTTGCTTGATTTCTTTTTAACCACAACCTCACTGTTGAGCCCAGCCTCAGTCTCCTGAGCACAAAGTGCCGGGACTGCAGGCATGCTCCTGGCCTGTCTGTTTTGATTTGGTTTCATTTCTCAGTGCTAGGGACCCAATGTATACTAGGCAAGCACTCTGCCACTGGACTGTATCTCCCCACCCCATTTACTTTTTAATTGCTTAGGTCAAATTTGTGATTGAGCTTAGGCTGTTGGCATCACTGGGGAATGTAAAAAGCTGTGTTTCTCTTTAAGGTTCACCTGGAGAAACAGCATTTAGAGCAACAGATCATGGATCCGAAAGTGACAAGCATTATAAGAAGGTAAGTATAGAGTACTGAAAATTTGACTTTTCCTTTATTGTTCAGATATTTGAAAATGTTGCTCCATTACTAGAAAATAAAAAATGTATGCTTACTAAGTGAACACTCACTGCAGGTGTTGCTGCAACAGCTCTGGGATAGAATCAAGGATGCTCATCCCCTCTGGTTATACTCTATGAAGTAACCATTCGAGAGTTTGTTATAAAGTGTATGTGGGGCTGTAGACATTTAAGCAATCTTCTCTTTCTTGGGACTTCACAGACCAACATATATTCATTCATACATGTTCGTAGATCTCCAAAAGAACTCAGGATGTACAAGGAATACCACATTTATGCATAGAACCTATTCCTCTTCTGGAGACTTACATTGGAAAGTTTGGAGAAAGATGAGAGAATAGAAAGTGTGTTATTAGCAAATGAATCAATTGTTTTATGTTGAGAGCCTCCATGGTTGTGTGTGAATGAGTCCATTGAGAACACATCGGTTTGGGTACATCTCAGACAGTCCATGTGGATGCTGCAGAACAGGTGTTAGCTCAAGTTACTCTGCATTTCTAGTCAGATGCTCTGCTATTACTGCCTGAGTTTTTAACTTCCATCACCTTTTTTAACTGGAAAAAGAAATAATTACATGTAAAGTTTTGTAAAAAATAATGCCTGGATAAATAAATTTATAAGCAAAAGATTCTGTAAACATTATATTTAAATTAAATATTTAAGTTAAATATGGACTGTGTAGTCAATGCTGAATTTTAAAGCATCATAGGAAAGAAATAATTTTATGATTCTTAAAGCAGAAAGAAGAAATATTTTCTGTATTTCCATTTCTTTCTACTTGAACCTTTTTTTGCTATTCCAAATTTTAAAGATATTTCCAAGATTTATTTTCTGTTGGTTTTAGGTAAAACATACTATAGAATACATATTTGCTTTCATTTTGATCTGTTTTTAGTACACATACTTTTAATTAAGGAACACTCCTTATTGTTTGTGCATCGAGGGTTAGAAAATAGCTTATTAAATGTGGCTAATTTGAGCCAGGGAAAGCCTTGGCTAAGAAAGCCAATAAACTTAATGTGAAAAGTTACGTAATCTGAGAAGAAGGAAGCCCTTTCGACAGGTATGGTCATGTGGACTTTTGAGCAGCAGTGATTTGCCTAAATCGGTAGCTATGTCTGTCTCTACTCTCTCACTGACACTGCATGGGGTCGCTTTAGTAAATGGAGAGCTGATTTTAGATTCAATCAGATTAAATCCCCTAAGCTCTGCCAAGATGATAAGCAAATCATCTGTAACTGATCTCTGCAGAATAGATGAAGCAAGAGACTATATCTTTGGGAATTTAATTATTCTTATAGATTTTGTTTTATTCAATTGACTTGAAAATAAATTTGTTGCTTTTTTTAAACAATGAATTTGTTTGACAGTAAATGCCCCTTGTAACTTCTTTCCTTTAAATTTTTTCTCAATTTATGGTAATTACTTTCCCCTATAAAAACTTTCTAATTGGGGCTGGCTGTATGACTCAGCTGTTGAGGGCACTTCCTGGACTTCAGAGCACCCACAGCAGGTGCAATCACCTGAACTCCTGTGCCTTCTGGAGTCCTTGAGTAGTGGACTCGCATGTTACATTTTCACATGCAGATACATACACACACATATAATTTTAATTATTTATTAAATGATTTACGCTTACCAATTTCCAGTGATTTATTGTAAATATTAATTCTGTTCATATAGAATTGTACCTATGCTGCTTTTAATACAGGTTAAATCAAGTTATAGAAAATACTAATAGAGTCAAGCCATGTCCAAAACTTGTGCTGATAGTTTTCAGTTCTGTTGATGCAGTGTTATTTCTAATGTTTGACTCTTGCTTATGATACTTGAGAGTAATATAAGCCACATAGACAAGATATAGATAGGTTAGTGTGATTTGATGGACTTTGCCTACAAAGTCATGTTTGAATATCGTCATGCAAGGAGACTTGAGCCAGTAGTCTTTGAGATCATTCAGACTGGGCTGGAGAGATGGCTCAGCTGTTAAAGGCTAGGTTCACAACCAAAAATATAAGAGATCATTCAGACCTCAGTTTCTATTCATTTATGTATTTTATTTGTGTATGTGTTTTCCTTGTGCACCATCTGTATGCATCATACCCACAAAGGCCAAAAAAAGGGTCGTATCCCCTGGGATTGGAGTTATAGTGAGTTGTGACCTGCAATGGGAATTAAACCTTTATTCTCTAGAAGAGCAGCCAGTTCTCTCAAGCACTCAGCCTTCTCTCGAGCCCCCTCAGATAGCAGTATTAAAGAGTTGAGTGATCGGCTTGGTATGGTGGTGCACTCCTTTAATCCCAACACTCGGGAGGCAGAGGTAGGTGGATCTCTGTGACTTTGAGACCAGCCTGGTCTACAAAGCAAGTTCCCATACAGCTAGCACTGTTACATGGGGAAACCCTGTCTTGAAGAGAGAGAGAGAGAGAGAGAGAGAGAGAGAGAGAGAGAGAGAGAGAGAGAGACATTTAAGGGATCATCAGTAGTGCTAAGATGACATCCACAGTTTGTCTCTCTGGTTTTCTTTTAGTTGTTTTAGTCTTGGCTCTTAAGATGCCCTCATTAAAATCATATTCTGATCAACATCCGTACCAGCCTAAATGTGCCTGATTTCACCTACATTGCATTGAGGGTTCGAAGCAGTCATGCTTAAGTTTATAGTTGTCTGTTCATGGTTGTAGTTTCTGGCAAGACTTCTCTACTAGAATAGTAGATGCAAGGCAAAAACGATTGTTTAAAATAGTAGTAAATGGAATACATTTCTACAACTAGAACTGAAGAGTTGCCCTCTCTAGTAGGAGAACACAAATGGAAGAGTCTTGGCAGTAAAGTTAGGAACACTCAAAGCCAGCTGAAAGGAAACTCAGATGTCAGATAGTGTGGCCCGAGTCATGACCAACACGACAAGTTGTGGCTTGTGCTTCCTGTCTTGAGCTCACTTGTCTTTGGGGAATTAAAGTGGAGATCTTCAGAAAACAAAGCCACACAACACTGCACAGCTGCACATCATCCCGTTCCTTTGCTTCTACCTGAACTCTTATCTGTTTAGACTGTGGACACTATGCTGCGTTGATCAGAAGTTCTGTTGTGAAATGACTAAGCAGTCGGCCTTACTGCATTGCCTAATAAGCATACTGTGTGTTTATGTCATTTAGGAAATACTATGAATATGTATCAATAAATCAGACTGTTGTAGGTAGCCACTTAGAAACAAAAAAAAATGTAATGGAAATTATAATTGATAATTACTGATAGCCATTTTATTTATGTCTTAAAACTACATGTAGAAAATGTTCAAGTAAAAAAATATATAGTGTGCTATTTCTGATTGAAAAGAATTAAATAACCCAAAGTGGGAAGACATTTCATTTTGGCAACCAGTAACAAATTTTGCATTCATAAATATCTTGAGCAGGTATGTATTAGAAAATTAGTTGTTGGGCTGGAGAAATGGCTCAGTGGTTAAGAGCACTGACTGCTCTTCTAGAAGACCTGGGTTCAATTCCCAGCACCCACATGGCAGCTTACAGCTGTCTGTAAGTCCAGGATCCAGCTTTATTTTTAAAAAAATTTTTAAAAAGTTGTTTTTAGCTAAACATATAGCTGAATTATTCAAAGTTTGGAAAATAGTGCTTAGGAATATTGCTTAAAGTTCTTTTACTAAACCAAAATGAAGTTTGGTAAATGTTATCTTTTTAGTATCGATGCCAAATACTTTATTTAGGTTTGCAGACCATAATGTCTCTGTCAGCTTCTTAGCCTGCCCACTGTATGCTGTCAACTCCGCTCTGCAGTAATCTAGATATACCGGCCATTGTGCTCTTTGAACTGCGGGTTGATTCTAAGGGTCAAAAGCACTTTGAAAATAGCTGTGCACTATTACTGGGTGGAACTGACATAGACTTTCAATCATGGGTCCCATTTTTCTTGTTTTCTAAACTGTAACCTACAAATTATTTAGCTTCTCTGAGTTCCTCCTTTCTTCTGGAAAAGGAGGAGTAAATGTCAATAAATGTGAAGCTGCTAGGAGGTAAGGGGCGTGACAATGTGCTGGAGATGTTATGTCTTAATGGGACATTAACATTTGATTTATTTCTTCTCCTTGCTTTGTTATGAAGTCTTTTGGAGATTGTGAAAATGGAAAAATGATCTGTAGAACTGACCTTGTAGCTTCTAAAGAGTTTTAAATTATCTTTACCCAGAAACTACAGGTGATTGATGGATAGGTAAAGTTCAGCTGTGTTTTGACTCATTCAAGCAACAACATGTGCCAAACCCTGTTCTACCTGGCTGTTAACACACCTCAGATGTGCCAGGCCTATTTAAGGTGCTAGGTATTAAAATAAACAAAGTGGAGCATATCTATGGTGCCAGCCACTCAGGAGGCTGAGATGGGAGGCTTGCTGGAAGTCAGGCCTTTGCGACCTGCCTGGGTAATATAGCAAGTGAGGTAGTTATGTTAGCCTGCTCAAGCTTTATAAAAGAAGGGCCTTAACGAGGTGGATTATAAACAACAGACATGTATTCCTACGGTCCTAGAGCTGGGATATGAGAGTAAGATGCCAGGTGTGATGTGTGGTGAACACTGTCTGTCTGCAGGGCGACTAGGCAGGCAGCTCCTGGCATCTTCTTTACAAGAGCGCTTAACCTGGAGGCCTTGTTGACTTCATCACCATGCTGATACCCTGATTCTCTTACTACCACACTGAGGGTTAGGTTTCACTATGAATTTGGGGGAGCTCATATTTAGACCATAGCATAATAATTCAAATTTCTTAAAATCTTTTGTACCGAAGTCATTAAATTTTAAGCTGGCATTTTCAGTTAGTTTTAGAGCTCTGGTTATAACCATTTTTTTTGACGTAATGCTGTCATTTTTTTTACAATTATAAATGTTATACCTGAAACATGAGACAAAATTGTCAAATTACCAATGACCAAAGTATTGTTAAAGATTATACCTTTTAAACCAGGCATGGTGGTACACGCCTTTAATCCCAGGACTTGGGAGGTAGAGGCAAGTGCATCTCTGTGAGTTTGAGACCACCTGGTCTACATAGCCAGTCAGAGTTACATGGTTTTTCTCTCTCTCTTTTTTTTTTTTTTGATAAATTATTGACGTTACCTTCTCTAATTGTTAGTCATAGTCATTGTGATTTGTTACAGTTACTGTGATTTATATATAATATCTTTAAAAATTATTATTTCTTGAGAGAAAAGAGTTGAAGCTCAGGAGAGTGTTACTGGCAAAGGTAGGTTTTGTGCATCTGGTCCATCTGTCTCTTGGCTGTTCTCCATGCTCAGAGACTGGCAGCTGCACACCTTATTTGGTTCTTAAAGTTGGGGGAAGGTGCTTACGATGCATGATTCTAATTCTTGTTTTCTCCTACTTTTTTTTAGGAGGTAACAGTTAATTTCACCTACCTTCACATAGCAGTGCTTCAGTAACAGACTTGGAAGGAAAGTGAGGTGTCACTAGAAAGAGTATTTTCTGGTAGTCTAATAGATATTATCATGTTAACTCCACAGCTGTGCTTAGATGTAAGCGGTGATTCAGGGTAGGGCAGTTAAGCTAAGTCAGAGTCACTTGACATTTTGTAAGTTGGTATATAAATATTAACAGGTAAACTACCAGGTATGTCCAGCCTTTTGACACTGACACTGGTTGTCATTTACAAAGTTCACACTGGAAAACTGCACAACTGACTTAAGAAATAAAAGTCAAATAAATATAATCTTCTAAGTAAGTTTGTGCTGCATGTGGCCCATGGGCCTGGGGTTGACCCACTGCAGGCTGACATAGGAAGCCTTCTTCAAAGGCAGATGTCTGTGTCATCTAAATATTTGGGCGATTAGAAGACATGACGACAAGATAAGAGTGCTGGCGGATAACACTGCCAAATTACTTTCTGTTGTTTCATGTATGGAGTGACAAAAATTATGGGAATAATGAAAGTGATTGGCAGTGACTTTGATAAATTTGCCAATGATTATAAAACTATATATATACACATATCTTAAAAGACAGCCCCAAGTTTTCTGAGTCCCTTTTGTACTATTGACTCCTGAAACAAATGTTGACATTTTGCTTGTCAGCTGCTTTCACCCTTTGATTTGCTGTAAATCATTCAGTTTTCTTCATTGTCTAATACTGACAGTAATCATAGCATCAAAAGTGGGAATGAAACAAAAATCCCCAAATTTTCTGTAAATTTTTCCATAACTTAGGTGTAATGCAACCACCCCCCCGTGTTATTTTTAGGAACTCTTTTTATGGTTTCCTAATTTCTTGGGTTATGTAAGGTAAATAAGTGAGCCTTCTACAGACTAAAATTTGAATATGCTGTCAACCAGCATTTTGAGAGACTTTCTAATAATACAAAACAGTATTTTCCACAATTATTTTTTGAAGTCTGAAGCTTTGTAAAGCCCTAATTTAGATTGTTTTAGTAATTACTAGCTTTCTTGCCTTTAGTTTGACTTGGTAAGTCTGAGCCCATTGTTTTTGAACACATTACACTGTTCAAATTGATTGTTGGAACTTCACCATTTTAGCTTTTCTAATTGAGAAAACATCAGTCTAGTATCACTGTTGGTTCTTAGTTGTCTTTTCTTCACTTATTTCAAAGTTGACTTTCTCCTAGGCCAACAGTTCACAACACAAAGGGCCCTTAGCTCAGTAGGCAGACAGAAGGCCTTGTGTGTTTTAGTATTGTACACCACAGGGGAGCGCAATGTACAGACAGTGTACCAGATCAACTTTAATGATTGAGTAGAATCGATGTTAGAAATAAAATTTAAAAAGTAATACACTCCAACTGGCTCTTATTTTTCAGTTCTCATAATAACTGTATGGTTTCTGTATCTTAATTATGTTTTTTTTTTAGTAATATGTGCTGTTACTTTCTCAGAAGCTATTCTATTTTATGTCAAAACAGCTCACAAAAAGTGAAAATTCCGTCAAGCTGGTTATGTAATGTTTCAAGTCAACAGCATACACTGATTAGTAGTACACATTGGCAGTTTTATAAAAGAGTTTTATCAGGAAACCCAGGGACCTGCCATGCCGTCCTCCTTGCACACTCCCATAGTCTGGTTTCCCGCTGTGTTGACGTTGTCTGACTGGCTGCTGAGTCAGTGGTCACTGCCCTCTCACATTCACTTTTTAAACCATGTGCTTTATTTTGCTGAGATCCCAGTTTGCCGAGGGAAATGGAAATTCAGTGCAGAGCCCATGTGTGGGCTGGCACTGTGGGTGCATGAGTTTCCATTTTTGTTTTAAGCTATCCATTCCTCCCTGTCTTGGCATCTGTTCTTCTGTTGTACCCTTTGGTTTAACATTGTTCTCCTCCCCAATTTTCCTCTTCTCCTCATTGTAAACTCATGGCAGGGTCTGCTTGGTGAGCTCATTCTCTTACAACAGCAAATTCAAGAGCACGAAGAGGAAGCACGCAGAACCGCTGGCCAGTATAGCACGAGCTATGCCCAACAGAAGCGCAAGGTGATGGATGGTTTACGGGGGCTACTGATGCATCTCACTAACTAAATCAGTCATTTCTGCCAAGATCGTGTCGCCTTAATCTGTTGATGGGCTCCAGTTATGGGAAATTATTTTTAACAAATTAAATTAAAAAGATACATCATACCTCCTAAAGTGGGTAGTGTAGACAAAACCCAAAATATAACTGCAGTATAGGAATTTAGGTTTGGAAGATTAGGTTATCTATGAGCATCCATAGATTTGTATTTAGGATGAAACTGGGAATTGTTGTTTATGGGATCCAGTTGAGTCACTCAGATACCTGGTATTGAAGCTCTCGTGAAGTTTTTAAAAACGGGCTTTTAGCCATTAGATCAAAGCCCCATAGGGTCAGTCTCTGTATTCTGTACAGACTTTTATCACAGTGAAACAAGTATAATGATTATACATTTGGATGCGGATCTTAAACTAATTATCTCAGTTCATTTAGATCAGAGAAGTTTTAAATCTATATACAAACCTTACCAAGGCAAAAAGAATCAGTCATATATAGTTAGCTTCTTGTTTGCTGTTAGATCTAAATCAAGGAATATATAGATACAGACTGGATGCAATGCTTCTACTGGCTAATCTTGGTGGTGGTTTATGCTTGAGAGTGTTCATCCTAATTTCATGTTCACTCACTGTCACTTCCTGGCTTTTCCCAATTCCATGGCTATGCAACCAACAACTCACTGTATGTTGTTCAGTTTTCAGTGGATGAATAAAGTAATTAGAAGAAACAAGTTATTTCATCTTTGTGGTTAAAGTACAGAGAGATGTGGGAGGAATGTGTGTTCTGGAATGTTAGAAATATGAACATAATGCCAAGTGCATTTTGGTCTTTTTCATAGTGGTAAGATGGAAATGAGGCCCATCTTTCTGCCATCCTAAACTCTAAGATGCAGATTAAGATTATACCAACATGCTGCTAATTTTGACCCTTCCAGGGATTGCAGTAGTAAGTACTGGCTGATTTTCTGTGATAGCAGACGTGCCTGCTTTACAGGTCTTCAGACTTTTGACTGCCGTTCCTGTTCTATTTACAGGTTATTTACTCAACCCTTTTGTTCCCCTGTTCGGGGTTTGTGAAATAGAGTGACAGAACTATGCTTCTGTCTGGGTTGTTTGTAAAGGAACACTTGGTGGGACACCAACCAAGGGCATTGCTTATAAAGGAACACTTAGTGGGACACCAGCCAGGGCTTTGTTTATAAAGGAACACTTAGTGGGACACCAGCCAGGGCTTGTCTCTGCCCGCTGTATAGTGAACTTGTGTGAAAGTTAATGGGGCATTAAAAAGAAGTTATGCTATCCCATAATGATGACATTCTTCCTGTCCTGAAAGCCCAGTTCCATGCTGTGTCTTCCTCTGCACCCCTATGGTTAGGACAGAGATTTCGTCAGCTCTTCACCATCATGGTCAAAAGATTAGCATTCCAGGCATCTGAGGTTTGCAGGAGGCCTAAAGTAAGCCACAGGCACTTTTAATTCCTTTAAATATTTATTTCTCTGTTCTTGAAGAGTCTAACTAGGTCTTCATTTTTCAGCATTTTGTTAGAAGTAAAGTTTTTGCCTGTATTTTCTGAGCAAAAGAGATGAACTGAGGCCAGAGGTATTGGTCATTTCCTCCTATGAATATGTCCAGATATAATTTTCCAGAGATCCTCAGATGCACACTTGTCTCAGAGCAGCCATGGTGATCTACTAGAACGAGTTCTAAAGCCAGTGTTCTCATGAGGAGCTAAGGTTCTCTTTCATCTGAGCTCATTTGTGCAGAAGAGCCCGCCCTCAGTTCTCCTTCAGTTTCACAGCCTTGGGATTGTGGAAAAGCTCTGGTTCAAGGTCATTGGTTTTGTTCTTGTCAGGGTGACTTTAAAATTAATTTCATAATAAAAACTAAATATATTACACAACAGAATGTGAGTCTCATGTAAGCAGCTGAGCTTTACCAGTGAAACCATTGGAAGATGGCATACCTAAGTTGTCTAAAGAGGTAGGGGGAAGTATAGGCTTCGCAAGCAAGAGAAGTTGAGTTTAAGCCCCAGAACCCGTGTAAACATGTCAGGTATGGTAGCATCCTCTTGTAATCCCAGTGCTGGGGAGGTAGAAATGGGCTCCCTGGGGCTCACTGGCTTAGCTAGCCAAGGCTAATGGGAAAACTCTAGAGCAGCGAGAGACACTGGCTCTAAGGAGGTGTGTAGTGTCCCTGAGGATGAGACTAAGCTAGTCTTCTGTCTCCACATGCCTGTTCATGCATGCTCGTGCACATTAATAAATGGCAGAGTGGAATAGCCCGTGCTAGTAGTCCCTTGAGGAAACATGTCAAAGTTATCTTCTCACCAGTCTTTAATGCTTGGTTTTATAAACCTAAAATTTTTTATCCTAAATCTTAGAAAACAAGTGATAACTTAGTTTTTACCCAACTGCTTATCTTAAAACATTAATTTTGATTCTTATTAAATGAAGCAGCTAGGAAGTATGCCATTTTGTAATATTCTAATTAATTGTTTTGATTTCTTATGTAGTCTTTTTAACCCAACTACTAAGTTAACCTTTTGTAGCCCTTGGCTTATATTAACATCTTAGCTTTTTGATTTAGTTATATTAGTCTCTTAATTATTATTCTACATTCTGAGCAACATTGAATTTTTTATAGTAATTCAGGATATATTGTAAGAAATCACTCAATTTACGTTTAAAACTAAAACCAAACAAAACACATCATGGTGGCAAAGGAATCTTTAATCCCAATGCTCGGAAGGCAGAAGCAGTCCGATCTCAGTGAGTTTAAGGTCAGCCTGGTCTACATAGTGAGACCATGTCTACATGAAAAAGTGAAGCAAAAACAGTTGGAAGTATTAGTTTTTGTGTATTGTATTGTAAATTCGCTACAGTTGGATGGCTATTTAGTGGAAGAAAGTCAATCCAAGGACCTTTGAAATGAGTGGGGAATTTAATCTACATCACAAATCTCTATGCTCATACATTACAGAATGATGGCATGCCCTGTGATCATAATAGGGATTGGTCTGCTTCTTCACTGGTCATTTAGGCTTTGTTCTTTGGGTCATGGGCTCTTTGACTTGCCTGCCTCATCATGCTTAAAGAGACTTAATAGTTCTTGTCCAGTCTACCTCAGCATACATAATCAAAATGGAAAAATACACATTACACCAACAAGTCTCCTCTTAGTTACCACTCAAGGCTAGAAACAAAATTTGTGTCACAAAATCTCATACAAAATAACTTAAGGAGGTTTCAAATACAGACATTTAAGAAGGAAAATAAGTGTACCTATCATTTTTAGCAAGTATTATTATCTATGAAAACGGGGAAATTCTGAAAAGTTATTTGGAATTAGGAGTTGAAAATCTAAAAACATTTTGTAGCATGGACAAGATTTATTAATGTCTACCTCAATTAAAAAAAAAAGACTGTCATTTAAAATCTGATGAAGACAACTCTGCCCTGTCAAGAAGTCAGTACACACTTACATGAATTTGTCATATGTGACATTGTTTTCATTGTGTTTTCTGTTTATAATTGTATTGTAACTACTTTAAATTATATTATACAATCAAATTTGGAGACTTTAAACAGTTTGTTTTAGAACTATTGATATCAATTTGAAGTAGTTTATACAATACTATAAATTTTGTTTTTTATGTTCAAATTAGTTTTAGTTGCCTAACTTGGTTTTACAGATACATTGTTCTGTTGAGAGTTAGCTCATGTTACATTGGAATCAAACTTAAGAACGAGCCTCTGGCTCTAGTCTCTGAAGAGTCCGGTTAGTCTCTGTGTCCGGTGCTTGTGCACGTCTCCACAGATGGTGAGGAAGTTGAAAGCTGTGCTTTAGAAGATCCACTGTGACCAGTGAGCTTTTGCAGTGGCTGTGAACCGCGACTTGTATCTGGAGTGCCCGTGCTTGTTTTTGGAGACAAGACAGTGCTTTAGATGTTAGGTTCCTGTGCCTTCATACAAAACAACCCTGATAGAGCAAACCCAGATCCACCTCTGCTGGACTGTGACAAGACAATGACTCCTTGATGTTTCTATTTCATAAGATTTTGAAGAACTGTTATTATTGATGAGTATAACTTTATTATCTTAAATATTCACTTGATTTAAATTTTATTTAAAATATGCATATAGTCAGTGCTGCTTTCAAACTCTAGCTTATTGTGTAGTCTATGTAACCCTAACCCTACTCAACTAAAATTAATCTATTTTAAATATTTAGGTGTCAGACAAAGAAAAGATTGACCAACTTCAAGAGGAACTTCTGCATACTCAGGTAACTATAGTCGTAAGAGTGCCCAGAGCTCCCCTCCATGTGAGCTGCTGGGGGGGAGCACTCAGACACTGAGCAGCATCCTCAGCCCCAGGGACTGCTTTGGGATATGGACAGCGGGTTCTCTTTCCAGCAAAGCAAAAGCTGGAATACTCAATGACAGACCTTTCCCACTAAAAGTAATTTTTGTATCTATGAAGGCTGATTGAGAAACAGGGTAAGAAGAAACCAAATGAATACCAGGTTAATTCATTATGTAGAGATTCCTATTTTGAGTGATTCTTGTCCTGATTTTAAAGATAAATTATTGTGAGAGGGGAATGGGTAAAAGTATTTGTCCTTATATAACCTAATGCTTATATTTTCACTTTGCTAGGCAAAATATAAAGAAATTTGAGTTGAGTTTCATGTATCTCTACTGAGTCCCCTAAAGCTTTTCTTTGTTTCCTTGAAACCTGAAATCAATATGATTTTTTTTACTAGAGATAACTCTGATAGTATAAGCCTATCTCTTAGAGTTAACAGTAGAAATGGTTGTTAAAAAATCAGTTCTGTACGATGTAGTGAGTATCCAAGTGCCGTCCCATATAAGATTTGTCAGCAGCAGTTACTCTGTATTCGTAACATCTAATAATTAAAACTTATTCTGTAAGCCAGAAGACATAATTACCATCTGGGGCCTTTTTAGGGAAAACATAAAAGAAGGGGCAGTCTAAATGAAATCAAGCAGCTATTATATTTCGGATACCTGGTTTTTTTTTACCTGTTCCTGGAGTTTCATGTGCAATTTTCACTAAGAGCACCTGTGCTTTGGCACCTGTCTTTCTCCAGACTTCTCTGCCATGAGTTACCATTCGTGTCTCCACTGCTCCCTTGTAGTGTACTCAATGTGCTATTCTTAATTTTAAAAAAAAAAAATCAGTGTTCTCTGAGAGGGATAACATAATAAAGCCATAACATTAATATTCGCTGGGAGTGTTTTAGAAATACAGATTCTTGGTTCATCCTAAACCCACTGAGTTAGACTCTCTGGCAGTGGAACTCAGTAATCCTTGGGGTATTTTGTAGTTCTTTTTCATTTATATGGTTTTTGTTTGGTAGCTGACCTGGAACAGAAGTCCTCCCACCTTAGACTCCTAAATGCCTACTCCTATAAAACCCAGCTACAGTCTTTGTTTTTAATGTGCTTAAGGTAATTATAATGATACGTCCTAAATTTGAGAATTCTTTGTTCTACGTAAGCATGCCCAACCTTCTGACTTTGTAACAAACACAGTTGTCTACAAGGTTCACACTGAAGAACCGCACAAACAAGTTACAAAACAAAATCACACTCCAAAGAATTTGTAATGTTTGAAGTAGATTTGCAGTTTTGTGTGCATCTCTATTCGCTGCTGTCCCCGGGTTGGACACACTTGTCAGCCCATTTATGCTTCCAGAGGATGCCTGTAGGTTGACACTTGTATCTAAGAAAGGAAACATAGATTCCCCAATTGATTTCATAGTTACAAAGAAATGTGCCGGCACTGTACCCTGCAGTGGGGCTGTTCCAGCTCTGAGGCAGTTAGTGTTGATGCGCTGTGTGAGGAGCATGGAGTATACTGGGCTGTGCAGTTTTCCCAGCAGCGGTTCTCAGGTAAAACAGATACACTGGCTGCATGTGCCAGTTTTCATTTTCATTTTAAAGGGGTAGCAGACAGGAATTAGTTTTAATAATATATGTTACTTAATGCACTGTGCCCCAAATTAGTATCATTTCAACATGTGGTTCATGTAGCAGATAGCTTGATAACTATGGGTGGCTAGTGACTTTAAAAAGCAAAGAAATAGTAGAATTTTACTATATCCTTATAAGCTATAAATGGATGCTTTATTAAATGTTTATCATATAACCAGTTAGTTCTACTTGTGTCATCCTATATAGTTTAACTACAGATGTTTTTTCTAATTAAGCCTAACATATACATTCTGTAAGGATAGAACCTTGATTTCCTGTTATTGGCCATTTTCTTGGGAGTTTAAAACCTAAAAAAGCCTAAGAAATGTTTTCCATAATGTGATAAAAGTTGTGTATCTAAGCATTCTGCTGATTATGGGGAAGTGTTAGTCTGAATTTTCTGTGCAAACTAAGATGACCAATTTGAACAGCTCACCTTGAAAAGAAAAGTGCATTGCCAGTTAGCTGCTTTGAAATAATAACCCTAAGTAAGTTGATTTTCTTAAGTATTTGATTTTATGTCGGTATTTTAAATACAAACTTCTCCAGACATGAACATTTGACCGAACCTGGTGTTTAAGCCTCTCCCTCAGACAGACCTGTTTAAATGCTCTTTCCTCCAGGACGTTAGTTAGGACAAGCTAGCAGGTCTGTAAAACCTCAACTCCAGTGGGTTTTCTGAGAGGATCATCACATAGTACATGCATAGGTGTTACACACTCATGTTGTATGTCATACTGTAATCTTTCTTAAAGAAATGTCCAAATGAGAATAATTTGAATTTCGGCCAAAAGCCTTTTATTGGAGACTTTATTTTGGGATTTTAGGAAATATTGTTTCTTGGGGTATAGTTCAGACTTTATTAAGTTTTTAAATTTTAGTATTTTTAAATTCTTTCTTTAACATAAGCAAATAAATTTTTAAGTTAAATGCTAAATTATAATGGAAAATTATCGATTTCACTGCTTGCTTTAAATAATCATAATTTTATTTTCTTCACATTGTCATGGAACATTTTTAAGTGTAATAATTTAAGTGTAACCAGTTAAGTTATATAACTTCAGAATTTTAGAAGATTTTAATTAGGCTTAATATTTATTTGTTATCCCATCTTTTTCTAACACAGTCTTGTGTATTGTCTTGTTGCAGTTAAAGTACCAGAGGATCTTGGAGCGTTTAGAAAAGGAGAACAAGGAGCTGAGAAAATTGGTACTGCAGAAGGATGACAAAGGCATCCATCATAGGAAACTGAAGGTACTTTATCTTAATTTGGTAGTTCTCAGAACTTTGGCATTTGACATCATGTATTAAATAATAAATTTTTAGTTTATCTTATTTTAAAAATATTGTTTGGGTGATTTGCCTATATGCCTTTGTACCACTTGCATGCCCGGTGCCTATGGAGGCCAGAAGAGGGCAGATTCCTTGAAATTGCAGGTACAGGTGGTTGTATAAGCTGACTTGTGGGTGCTGGAAATTGAACCTGAGTTCTCTGGAAGAGCAACCAGTGTTCTTAACCAATGGGACATCTCCCTATCTTCTAAGTGATAAAAATTTTAAATAATGAAGTATTTTATTGCCTTTTCATCCTAGCCAGTGTAAATATTTCATAAATTATAGTTTCTAAATTCATCATATAGCATGCCCATAAAATTTTCATATTTTAAGAAGACTTTCTTATGAATCAATCTATTTTCATAAAATACCTAGTTTATCTTCAGGCTTAATTTTCCATATCTATAAAATTGGGATTCTTTTAAAGGCTTTTTAAAATTATTGTGCGTGTTTACAAATACACGTTTGTGCCAGTACCAGAGAGGGGAGGGGGGGTGAGTTCAGGGCAGGGAGCAAATCTGTGAGGTGGTTCTTTCCCCTTCCCTGGACTCCAGGAACTGAGTTCAGATCACCAGGTTTGCATGGTATTTGCCTTTACTTGCTGAGCATCGTGGCTGCCCCCAAATTAGGATTATTAGTTTTGAATTCTTAAGTAGTACTCGCCACTGTTGCCTCACTAGTATTTCCACTTCAGCTTATCTTCAGTTTGGAAATTTAACATTTTTTTCCCAAGGTAATTTTCTACTACAAAAACTAGAATAAATTTTTAAAAATAAGTGCATTTTGATATTATTGTCACCAGCATATTGTTAATTACCACTATCAATGAACAAAGTCATACTATTCACCACAGACTCAGCCAGATGTATTAAGTTGGCATGATTCTTTTAACTTAAAGGTTTAATGCTATAATTAGTGTCTGAGAAAAAGTGAACATGAGTTGCTGCTACGTAGAGAATCATGGCGAATGTTCTAGAACCAAGATCCAAAGATGTCATTCTAGTTTAATAAAATGATTTAGTAGCTTTGGCTCTAAATCATCACCCAGTGCATGAAAGCCTGTCTTTTTTTTTTTTTTTTTTTGGATGTTTCCAATATTAAGATAGTGTTCCTCTGTGTAGCTTTGGAGCCAGTCTTGTAGACTAGGCTGGCCTTGAACTCACAGAGATCCACCTACCTCTGCCTCCCAAGTGCTGGGTTTAAAGGCCCACCACCACCCAGCAAGCCTGACTGTCTTCACAAGTGCTGCTTGATCACTGAAAAGTCCTGCTCAAGTGTTAGGAAATACAGAGAGCTCCCTTACAAATGGCGTTTTTCCTCATAAGATACAATGGTAATGAAAAGTGTGCATTTTTAGGCAGATGTGAGAGCAGCTGTCTACATTTAGGTATTTCTGTAATTAAGAGTCAAAAATATCCCTAAACTCTCATAATGCTCCGACCTTAGTAAATGATTGTTGGTTACCCTTTTTCTCCCTAAGATATTTTACTCAACACTGTGGCATCCAGAATGCCATGCTCCATCCTGGTCTCGAGAAAATCAATCCAGGACCTTTGTCCTTTACTCACATTGCGGCCCTTGCCATTCTCAGGGTGCTTAAATCCTTGGCTGCTTTACTGGCTTTGCTGACACTCAGCCCCGCCTCTGCTTTGTCCTCTGGCTCTCACGTGTCCTTGCTTCCTGCCCCCCCCCCCCCCCTCTCTCTCTCTCTCTCTCTCTCTCTCTCTCTCTCTCTCTCTCTCTCCACTCTGTTGTTGTTGTTTTGTTTTTTCAAGATAGAGTTTCTCTGTAGCTTTGGAACCTGTCCTGGAACTACCCCTTGTAGACCAGGCTGGCCTTGAACTCACAAAGATCTTCCTGCCTCTGCCTCCAGAGCGCTGGGATTAAAGGCGTGCACCACTACCGCCCAGCTTCTCTCTCCACTCTGCCACGTGCTTTCCCCCTCTCCTGTCATTCTCATACACCCTAGACTGACAGAGGGTAGTTTCTCTGTCAGTTGGTCACCTGACCCCTTATTTGACATTTATGGTATTAGTAGTTTAGCTTGTTAATGTTAATGAGCTTTCCCTTTTACTATCTAATTAGATTATGAAATCCTAAATTAATGAACTTTTTATTAAGTCGGTATATTTCTAAGTAAAATGAAGAAGTGGAATTTTTATTCTTATACTGGTTTTACTATGAAAATATATTTATGTAAAGTATAAATTTGAATTTATCCACGTGTTTTCTCTTGATGCATATGTAGTGTATTTATTGTTTGATTCTTTCACTGGGTTTTATTAATCTTAATTTCTTTGCAGAAATCTTTGATTGACATGTATTCTGAAGTTCTTGATGTTCTCTCCGATTATGATGCCAGTTATAATACACAAGATCATCTGCCACGGGTAAGGGGAAAATAAACAGGGACCTGCTGTCACCAGGAAAGTGTTCTCCCCATGTCTTCCTAACTCCTGCGTTCCCGAGATGTCTGTCTTAAACACTAAGCATGGCTTGGCTCCTTATTTGAGGGACTATAAAAGTAAATATGTGTTTTGAAAGAAGGCTGTCAGATATTTACCCTTATACATTCTTTATAATGTTAAAATACCTAGGCAAAGAATTAAACATGTGGATGAAATTTAGTCTGATAGGATCCAAAGTGTGTTGGTAAAATGTAAACTGGCTATGGAAAATATCTGTGGAAAGTTAATGATCTATTTTAGAAATAACTCTTAAGTAGCATAGTTTTCAAAAATAAAAATTTGACTATAATTAATGGATCCAATCAATGCTTCTGCTATGTGTGTCTTCAGAGTGCCTACATGTGTCAACCCTCATTCTTTTTACAAAAAAAATCACTTCTTTTGGCTATAATTATCTAAGAGATTGTTTTAGGTGATGGTATCAGAAAAATACTAAGAACTGCCATTTGTCTTGTGATTAGGTTGTTGTGGTTGGAGATCAGAGTGCTGGAAAAACAAGTGTGCTGGAAATGATTGCTCAAGCACGGATATTCCCACGAGGGTCTGGGGAGATGATGACACGGTCTCCCGTGAAGGTAGGAGAGGAGACCTTAGAGAAGGCGCCACTCGGTGTTAAAGTGAAGGCGTAGCTTCCTCATTTCACTTAAGTAAGGGGGCTTCTTAGCATTTGGAATCATTCCCACTGTAGGAATTAGTGCAGGCATAGCCAGGGGCACACATGTGCAGAGCTGCGAGAGTAATGAAGGGAAAGTGGTTGGGAAAGGACATCCGAGGCGCAGTGGCTGTCTAGGTGATGCTGTGAGTCCTCTTGAAGGTATTTGGAATAGGACCAGAGGTGAGAAAGAGAATGTGAATATTGGAAGTGGAATCAATGGATGTAGATAATTTCCTATAGTATTTATATGCTGATTATCATGATCCATTAAGCTAGAAAATATGATAACAGGAAACATTGCAAGAACATAGTCAGTGAAGTAAAGGGGGCTTGTGTGTGTGTGTGTGTGTGTGTGTGTGTGTGTGTGCACGCTTATTGCCCATATACAAAACTACTAGCAACTCCCCAGTGGGAGACAGGAAGAATGCAAATACTGTAGACTGTTTTATTAAGCAAATATTTGTAGCATGAATAATAAAAACCCAGAGACAGATATTGGGGTTCGATCTAAAGATGAGAAAAGCAAAGCAGCCAGGCACTGGCCCTTACCTCTACCTCAGACTGAAAGTGGGCAATCCTGCCTCCAGGAATCCTCAGAATGAGGCTGAGCATGAAACCTGTCTCCTCCCATCTTATGTTCCTTTCTAGTGCTGGTATTAAAGGAGTGTACCACCACTGCCTGGCCTCTATGGTTAACTAGTGTGGCTGCTGGCTTAAACGTGTATGCCACCACTGCCTGGCATGTATGGCTGACTAGTCTGGATGCTTTGCAATGATCTTCAATCAAGTTTTATTTATTAAAGCACAGATAATATACCACTATAAATATTTATTCAGCTCTTAATATATGCCAGCATTGATGTACCAGGCATGTGCAACCTTTTGACATTGTGGTATTATGTACAAAACACTTGAGACCTGTGTTACTTAATAAGTAAATAAAAAGTATCTCAGTGTTTAGTTATGTTTATGGTTTGATGTTGGGCCACATTCATAGTTATTCTAGAGTACATGTAGCCCATGGACCACAGTTTGGATAGACCTGGCTTTAGACAGGTGTATAGTAAATTAAAGAAGATTCTTGCCATAAGCATAATAAATATCTAAATATTACACTGTTTAGAACATTAGAAATGGAGCCAGCGGGGGTGACAGGATACTTGTAGGTGGTATAGCTAAGGTGGCATTTGGACCAAGATTTACAGAAAGTTAGGGAAGTAGTCATGTTGCAATCTGGTACAGTTAAATTCCAAACAGACTAGCTGGTGCACAGCTCCTGCTGTGGTTGGGGGATAATCCTGTTTGAGGAATAGGAAGGAGACCAGTGTGATAGATCACAGTGAAGAATCCTCAGTCCAGTCGGAGAGATGATGGATAGCAGGGAGAACAGATCATTAGGGCCTGCCAGACCAGTTTAGAGAGTGTGGTTTTTATCTAAAATAAAGTGAGAAGCCAGTGAAGTCCTGAGCAGAGTTCTATTACCTTTTGAAAGGCTCTGCTGCTGTGTTGAAAAGAGATGTTGGTAAGTGGGTCACACCACAGAGGGCAGATGAAGGGCAGTTGGATTAGATGATACTTGGATACAGGAAGTATTAATAAGGGTGAAAAAAAATTGATGGGCTTATGAAACAGTTTTTAGAGTAGAACCAAAAATACTTCTTGACAGATTGATAAGAGATTAATTGTCGAGGACTCGGGTTTTGACCTGAACAGATTAGAGGATGTTAGAGTTTGCATAGAACATGTAGATAGGTCCAGTTTGGGAAAGATGTTCCAGGGTAGGATATTTTTTGCTAAAGGCAGATAATAAATAGGTATCAGGATGTACAAATTTGGGGAATGGTCTGGACTGGAGACATAAATTTAAGAACTAAAGTAAAATATCTACTGGATAAGATCTCAAAGGAGTGAGTGGACATAAAGACACAGGACCTGCTAGATTAAAGTTTGGAACATGAGAGGATCAGCCAGTGCTGTGGAAGTAGAACCAGAACCATGGCAGGAAAGAAGTATCAAAGAGGAAGGGACCTAAGGAGCAAGGGAAGGCTGAGCACCAGTCACTCAGTTTACCATGGGGCCAACTCAAGTGCTGGGTGCTATGAAGGCCTTTTGTTTGCTACTACCTCATAGTGAAATAAATCACTGGGTTATCAACTGTTAAGAGAAAGGGTGAAGGTCTTTTCCCATTCTGTAGGCTGCTGTTTTATCTTGTTGACCATGTCCTTTGCTTTACAGAAGCTTTTCAGTTTCAAAGGGTCCCATTTATTAATTGTTACTCTCAATGTCTGTGCTGCTGGGGTTATATTTAAGAAGTGGTCTCCTGTACCAATGCGTTCAAGTGTACTTCCCACTTTCTCTTCTGTGAGGTTCAGTATGGCTGGCTTTATGTTGAGGTCTTTGATCCATTTGAACTTGAGTTTTGTGCATGGTGATAGATATTGATCTATTTTCATACTTCTGCATGTTGATATCCAGTTTTGCCGGCATCATTTGTTAATATGCTTTCTTTTTTCCATTTTATATTTTTATATTTATATTTTTAGCTTCTTTGTGAAAAATCAGGTGCTTGTTAGTGTGTGAATTAATATCTGTGTCTTCTATTCGGTTCCATTGGTACTCCTGTCTGTTCTTATGCCAATACCAAGCTGTTTCAGTACTGTAGCTCTGTAGTAGAGTTTGAAGTCAGGGATTGTGATGCCTCCAGAAGTTCTTTTATTGTACAAGATTGTTTTGGCTATCCTGGGTTTTTTACTTTTCCATATGAAGTTGAATACCGTTCTTTCGAGGTTTGTGACAAATTTTGCTGGGATTTGGATGGGCATTGCTTTGACTCTGTAGATTTTGGTAATATTGCCATTTTTACTATGTTAATTCTACCTACCAAAGAGCATGGGGGATCTTTCCACTTTCTGGTGTCTTTTTCAATTTCTTTCTTCAAAGATTTAAAGTTCTTGTCATACAGGTCTTCCACTTGTTGGTTAGAGTTACTCTGAGATATTTTATACTATTTGTGAAGAGTGATGTATCGCTGAGTTCTTTCTCAGCCCATTTATCATCTGTGTAAAGGAGGGCTACTGATTATTTTGAGTTAATCTTTTATCCTGCTACATTACTGAAAGTGTTTATGAGTTGTAGAAATTCCTTGGTAAAATTTTTGGGGTCCCCTATAAGAACACATTGGCATAGGAGACCACTTTCTAAATATAACCACAGTAGCACAGACACTGAGAAAAACAATTAATAAATGGGACCTCCTGAAACTGAAATGCTTCTGTAAAGCAAAGGACACGGTCAACATGACAAAACGGCAGCCTACAGAGTGGGAAAAGATCTTCACCAACCCCACATTGGACAGAAGACTGATCTCTAAAATATACAAAGAATTCAAGAAATTGGTCATCGAAAGAACAAATAATCTAATTAAAAAATGAGGTACAGACCTAAACAGAGAACTCTCAGCAGAGGAATCTAAAATGGCTGAAAAACTCTTAAGGAAATGCTCAATATCCTTAGCCATCAGAGAAATGCAAATCAAAACAACCCTGAGTTTCTATTTGACACCTGTAATAATGGCCAAGATAAAAAACACTGATGACAACTTATGCTGGAAAGGACGTGGGGAAAAGGGAGCATTCCTGCATTGCTGGTGGGAGTGCAAGCTGGTACAGCCCCTTTGGATTTCAGTATGGCGATTTCTCAGAAAATTAGGAAACAACCTTCCTCAAGACCAAGCAATACCACTTTTAGGTATATATCCAAAGGATGCTCAATCATAACACAAGAACATGTGCTCAACTATGTTCACAGCAGCATTGCTTGTCATAGCCAGAACCTGGAAACAACCTAAATGCCCCTCAACTGAAGAATGGATAAGGAAAATGTGGTACATTTACACAATGGAGGACTACACAGAAGAAAAAAATAATGAAATCTTGAAATTTGCAGGCAAATTGATGTATGGAGCTAGAAGACATGATATTGAGTGAGGTAAACCAGACCCAGAAAGACAATTATCACATGTACTCACTCATAAGTGTTTTTAAACATAAAGCAAAGAAATCCAGCCTACAAATCACAATCCCAGAGAACCTAGACAACAATGAGGACCCTAAGAGAGACATACATGGATCTAATCTACATGGGAAGTAGAAAAAGACAAGATCTCCTGAGTAAATTGGGAGCATGGGGACCATGGGAGAGGGTTGAAGGGGAGGGGAGAGGTAGGGAGTAGGGAGAGGAGCAAAGAAAAATGTGTAGCTCAATAAAATCAATATAAAAAAAAGAGTGAGAAAGGAGGAGATTGAGGCAGAAAAACAAAAGCAAAGTCTTTCTAAGAGATCGTGTTAACTCTACTGATAAAGTTGAGTAAAATGAAGATGGATTAGTCAGACTGAAGTCACCAGTAAGGCTATGGGCATAGATTTAAAGTGAAACTGTGGTTGGGAGATTGGTGATTGTTTTTCTTTCACATTCCTTGATAGAGGTCAAGATAAAGTAATTCAGAATAGAAAATTGAAATCACCGAGAAGTATGCTCAGAATTTTGTGATAGAAAGGGAGACAGTGAGGCTGGATTAAAGTCTCCAAGTGATATCTGAGTGGAACTGCAACCAGGTGGAGTGTCGGGCAACTGGGGTGATTCACAGTGTTCCTTGGGGTCTGACTGTGAGTTGGACCTTATTTTGTCTTAGAGGTTCCTTCTTCATCGACTGGTGGTATTTGGTGAGCATCTATTTTACACCGATGGGAGTCTGCTGTACTTAATGCAGGGGAAGCCCAAGGTGGACTTGTGCTTATATCATGCTCAGTAATCATTATAAAGACATTGGGAGTTCATCCTTTACTTTGCTACAAGTACTATAATTATAGAGTGTCATTCCATTTTAACAATAAAGACTCAGAAGCCAGATGCTGGGGTGAAAGCCTACTGGCTCAGAGAGACAGAGAAAGCACCCAGCTGACCTTCCTGCTCTGCTGAAATTCCAGAAAAGAGCTTCCTCCTACACCATCTCAAGCAAGACTCCTCCGACTCAATGTCCCTCTCTTCTACTTCCTGTTTTTGTGTGTCTCTCTCTCCATCCTCTTGACTCCCTCTTACCCTCTATTTTTTTTTTCATGTTTGCTTCCTGTCATCTGGTTGCTTTTTCCACCTCTTGACCTATGGTTAATTTTATTTAATCCTGTTTACAATAAGCAGAAAGCTCTTGGATTAAAGGTGTGTGCAAGGGCTGAGCCATACCACAACTGGAAACAGGATTTTTCAGTAAATAAGGCAATCTCAGGGTTGACAATGTGATCAAATATTCTTCTACAGTAGGAGAGCTTCAGAAAAGTAATGGTTTTGGAAGGTCGAGATTGCCTTCAAATAGAAAAGGCCATAGGCCTTCTGTTCACCAGGACTCTTACTTCTTGATATAGGAGTCCTATTTATGTCTCCTCAGAGCAGTGAAATTGGCAAATCTGGACTTAGCATTTCGGCTTCTTTACCCCAGCTTTCTGCTTGGTTTCTAAATATCCCTGTCTTGAAGGGACATTGCACATAAGATAAAGGATTCATTTTAGGTGATTCATTTCTGTAGCTCATTTTTTGCTAAGATCTTAGCACCTGAGGTCACAGTTCTGCTTAAAAGCCTGAATTCTATTTATTTGCTTGTTTTGGTCTGTTTGACAGTGCAGTTGCTATAGAGTTTAAGCGTTTTGCTTAGCCCTTTGTCTGCACCACAAATAAGTACTCAAGGAAAAGTGACTGCGGCACAATCCACCTAAGGCCTCTGGGATGGCATGCTCGCTTTCAGCATTGGTCTTTGTTTTCTTGTGTAACCAGCTCGATTTATTTTAGTGAAACAAATACGTTTTCAAAGTAAAGCAGTATAATGATGATACCCTGAAATGTGTAAACTAAAGATTAAGGAATATTGAGTTTAGACACTTGTAAAATGACTCCCTGTCACTGCATATTGTTAAATAATCTATCCTGATACTCCCCTAAGAAGCCTGTGGTGAATCCTGCCAGCCAGGGTCAGTCTGTGGTTCCGGACCTTCCACCACACTCTTCCTTTCTGTGTGGAGTGAGTCCTGAAGCAGAGAATGTCAGGCCTATGTGTCCCCATCTCAAATACTGCTGTATAGTTCATGTGTTGAGGAGTGGTAACCAAATGAACTATCCTCTCCCTGAATTCATCTCAAGTCAAGCCTTGGCATCTCTTTGAATTCTTCAAGTTTTAGAGGGGCAGTTTCTCTGCTTGGTGGTCTGCAGAGCATTGCCTGGCTGGAGAGGCCAGCAGCACCCTAGGTCATAAAAAACAGAGAACCCACCAGTCTCACTGCCCAGTGTCAGCATGGCATCACACACAGCGCAGAACAGCCGTGCTGACAGCACCTGAGTATAGCATAAAGGTGCCATGATTGACCCTGTCTGGACTGTGCGGGTGCCGTGAATTAATGTTAGCTGTGAATGCATCTTATGTTTCTGTCCTTTCAGGTGACTCTCAGTGAAGGTCCTCACCATGTGGCCTTGTTTAAAGATAGCTCTCGGGAGTTTGATCTTACCAAGGAGGAAGACGTAAGTAGAATTCAAATCACGTTCATCTCTGTGGCTTTATGACCCCTTTGTGGTCTAAGACAAAGAAATGAAATATTTGCCATTAAGATGGTCTTAGGACTTTGTTCTTCTCCATTAATAGCTTGCGGCATTAAGACATGAAATCGAACTCCGAATGCGGAAAAATGTGAAAGAAGGTTGTACTGTTAGCCCTGAGGTAAGAGAAGCACTCATTTCAGCCATGATGTGGGATAGGAAGGTTTATGGATAGTGATGATTAATATGGATGCGGTGTTTAGTTTATAGCTGGTCCAAGGTAGGTAGGTAGGTAGGTAGGTCGGTCGGTCGATCGATCGATCCATCGATAGATAGATAGATAGATAGATAGATAGGCAGGCAGACTTATTTTAATTTTTTGTTTTGTTTTTCTCTTTATGAGACAGGGTCTCACTATGCATGCCTGGCTGGCCTGGTACTCACTCTGTAGACCAAGCTAGCCTTGAACTCACAGAGATCCACCTGCCTCACAGATGCTGGAATAAAATGCTTGTGGGATCATACTCAACATATTTTTTAATGTTCTAAATAAATATATCAATGTACCATTATAGGGGGAGTTTTCTAGAATAATTACTTGGGTGTCAAAAGAAAAGAACTTTTTTGAAGTAAATATCTGAATGAACAAGAATTTTCAGGATATTTATCACCACAAATATTGATTCCTCCCACCCCAAATAGACCATATCTTTAAATGTCAAAGGCCCTGGACTCCAGAGGATGGTGCTTGTGGACTTGCCCGGTGTGATCAATGTAAGTGCATGCAGAATATATGTTCATTTTATTTCTCCTGGGGAAGCCATCTGTAATGACACTTAATCCTTTCTCTTCCAGACTGTGACATCAGGCATGGCTCCTGACACAAAGGAGACGATTTTCAGTATCAGCAAAGCTTACATGCAGAATCCCAATGCCATCATCCTGTGCATTCAAGGTGAGTTCCACAGGTGCTCCTGCACGCCGTCCTGTCCTCTAGAATTGGAGGCATTGATCCAAGGCCCGCCATGGAAGCACACGTGCAGATGTGTCTCCACCCCCTTGTCATTTTAGTGATAAATAGAGTTTAAGCTGGGAAGGTGTTGATAGTTTTCATTTTCGACATCATTGGAATTTTTATTGGCTACATCCCTAAAGTAAATGTATTAAGACTAAATTTTCACAATCAACTTTGTAATTATTACATTGTTATTTCTTATTTTTGCAGATGGATCTGTAGATGCTGAGCGCAGCATTGTTACAGATTTGGTCAGTCAAATGGATCCTCATGGAAGAAGAACCATATTTGTTTTGACCAAAGTAGACCTGGCAGAAAAAAATGTAGCCAGCCCAAGCAGGGTGAGGGCTGTGTGTGTGTGTGTGTGTGTGTGTGTGTGTGTCAGTGCTTTAGGCTTCTCATCTAGTGGCAATGAGGACATTTATGATGTGATCGCATAGGTTTTTATGAATTACTAGTCAAATAATTCGCAGTGGTTAGAATGGCTCTCAGGTACCAGGTGTTAAATAACTGGTGACTGACTTGTTTACGAATGATAAATTCCTATTCTGTAGTCCCCTGTAGAACAATGGTATTAAGTCCTCATCTCCACTGCTACTGCATAGACTGTCTCTCTTTCCCACCTTAAACCTGTAGGACTTTGCCTCTGTGTTAGAGTCCCCAGACATACCAGCCTCAGGTGCAGTGATTCTTTCAAAGGACCCGCAGGGTCACCACCACATAGTCATAGTTGCCTCGACGACAGATTACAGAGCCGTGAAGGAGAAGACGCATGGGATGCAGTCAGAGGCATCCTGCTCATGTTTCCCCAAACCTTCCCTCAGAGGCTGCTCAGAGAGGCAGTACCAAAATTCCAAATCTCAGAAGGAAACTGTCAGCACATACCTCATTACTGCCGGGGAATGCCAGACAGAGGCAAGCAGAGCTTTTGTAGGGTCCTGCTGGACCTGCTGTGGGGCGTGTCTTATTTTATTTTGGTTGTGAACCAGCCTTTAGCAGCGAGCCATCTCTCCAGCCCTCTCTGGCTTGTTTTTAAGAGCAAAGCAGTGTTGTTATGACACCCTTGGGGCTCATGTGGAGAAGGAGAAGCAAGGTGGGAACAATGACCATAGCCTCCATTTCTCCCCTAATGCTCACATTCCTTTCTTCTCTGGGGAAGTCACATTGGATTTCCCTGGGGGGCCAGTTGAAGCTTACTTCAGGCCTTCCTATGGCAAAGACTCAACTGTAGTCTAATTTTAACTTGTCTCTGCACAGTGTTCATCTGAATAGGTCTCTGGAAGCAAAAATCCTCCATTGTGTATGAATAATAGATGTATGTAGATATGCATTTCCTGTACCCAGACTCTAGTTTTTATTACACACAGAAAAGATTTTTTTCCTTAAAAGAGTTGAAAGCCAATCTAAAATGTATTGTTTTAAGTAGGGATAAGAAGAGAAATTAGTAAAAGATAATCCAACTTGGTGAGAATCAATAATCAGGGCCTACATAATGTATCAGCAGGTAAAGGTGTGGCCACATCTGAGTTTGATGTCTGAAACCCCTGAGTCGGAGAGAGCTGACTCCTACAAATCGTCTTCTGACCTATATTTATATGCATGCCCACACATACGAATACAAATAAACAAGTGCCATTTTTTTTTTTTTTTTTTTTTTTTTTTGGTTTTTCGAGACAGGGTTTCTCTGTGGCTTTGGAGCCTGTCCTGGAACTAGCTCTGTAGACCAGGCTGGTCTCGAACTCACAGAGATCCGCCTACCTCTGCCTCCCGAGTGCTGGGATTAAAGGCGTGCGCCACCATCGCCCGGCTACAAGTGCCATTTTTTTAATTTAACAGAATAATTTAAATTTTTAACTATTCAAAGAAAGTATAAGGAAAAATAACAAAACTATTTATTGAGTGCTTCTCTGTGCTAAGTGCCATTATCTCATAAGCTCAGTACCTTTTACTAAAATTAGCTCATTTACTCAAGGCCACACAGCTAGTAAATAGCAGGACAAGAACTCCAACCAAGGTCTGACTCAACCAGGTTCTGATATTGGTATATACATTTAATAAGACATTTTAGATATAGTAAAGTGCATTTTCCTCAAATAGCAATCAATGCACTTATATGCTTTTGAACAGAATATATATATATATATATATATATATATATATATATATATGCTGATAAGTATATAGACGTATAGAGTTTTTTAATATTTTGCTTTCTAATTGATTGTTGTGCTTTTAAAAATTAAGTGAATCTATCTTTCACATTTATTTTTCCAATTTATTAAAATAGATACAACAGATAATTGAAGGCAAGCTCTTCCCAATGAAAGCTCTGGGTTATTTTGCTGTTGTAACAGGAAAAGGTATGCTAAGATGGATTGTTGCTACTCATTTTTAGCTTTTGTTGTTTTCAGATAATAAAAATTAATTTTCTTGGTGAAAATTTTGTCACCATCTTTCCTAGGAAACAGCTCTGAAAGCATTGAAGCTATAAGAGAATATGAAGAAGAATTTTTTCAGAATTCCAAACTCCTAAAGTAGGTGTCATGCTGCAGTGTTCAGAGACTTTTCAGGGAGGACGCAGCCCGCTGCACTCTTCAGCTGCACTGCTCATGCCTGGCTGCAGTCGGTCTCCTGTTGTCTGTCTGTCCACGTGCTGGGCTGTGTCATGAGGCTGGCCTGGAGCACCCTGGAGTAGAAGTGAAAGCAGCTTATCCCCTGGTGCAGCAGATGGCAGGACAGACGGCCTCTGCAGATGTGGACTGAGGGACCACCCTTAAACCTCTTACACTGTTTTCTGTAGACAGTGATTTTTTTTAATTAATTTTCCTTTTTTTTAATATGTGTGCACATTTCTCTTGTAATAATAGAAAAAGTTTGAGTGGGGGGTGGCAGCAGGATATTCCTAAATGGATACCAGAAGAAATTGACAGAAAATAAGACACTGCACTGCAACTCAAAATAGAATTACACTGAAAGTTTCTACTTAGTTTTTGGAAGTAGACAGGCATGTTTGCCTCCATATTGCTACAGAAGTAAGAGCAGTTCCTGCAGCCATAGCCAAGGATTCTCTTTTTATTGGGAAGGAAGCAAGGAGCTTGTAGAACTGGTCATGTGCATACCCCAGACCGGCCAGTGTTTGGTGAAACAAAAGCCATCCCTCAGCTCACTAACCATGTACTTGAAGAGCTCGGTATTGCATGTGGCCAGCGCTTGCCGTGCTGGGCAGGGTAGCTAGCTCATTGCCTGAGTGCAGGAAGTTTTACTGGGCAGCGTTAGTGTGGGGTAAGGGCTCCTTTGTCATTCTGACACGCTTTTGCTCTTCTCTCCTATAGGACAAGTATGCTGAAGGCACACCAGGTCACCACGAGAAATCTAAGCCTTGCTGTGTCCGACTGCTTTTGGAAAATGGTTCGAGAGTCAGTTGAACAACAGGCTGATAGCTTCAAAGGTAAGCTGGCTTCTTACAGCAAGTCCGCAAATCCAGGCATGTGACTTACTATGTGACAGTGGAAAACTGGAGAGATGCAAGCCTTCTATTATATAAGAACTGATTGTCCCTTTCAGGGGCAGCATCACAGGGTTTTCAGAAGCAGCAGGTTTGCAGTAGTGTTTACAGCAAACTTGACGGCCTGTAGAGAATGTGGATACTCCTTACAGGAAGAAGGGAGACGCTGGGAGCCCTGCATTGTACTGTTTCCCCAGGCCCATGCTCGTCTACACCAAGTCTTTGCTTCCAGAGCTTCGTTCAGGGAGAGCAGCTAATCCTCCCCTCCTGCCATTTTGAAAGTTTACTTAATATTTATCCTACTTAGTACTACAGCAATTTTTTGTTATCTTTATTTCCATTTTACAGATGAGGGAAAAGGTGCAGAGTATTTACATAACCAGTGCCACATAGCTTTAGGACCCAGGATCTGAGTCACCACCAGAGTCCTTTTTCTTAGCAGCTACGCTACACTGCTACAGCTGTGGCTTCATGAAATGAACATGGAGAAAGTAGAAGTAAGGAGAATAGTTTAGACAGCTGTGACAGAATATCAGGGCACCAGGTTTCAGACACCCAGCTAATACAGAAGGTAGAGAAGAAGCCTTCAACAGTCAGACTGCAGCATCTTCCTTTCTCCACAGCAACACGTTTTAACCTGGAGACGGAGTGGAAGAATAACTACCCTCGCCTGCGAGAGCTCGACAGGGTAATAATATCAGAGTGCCCCACAGGGCTGTATATGCTTTAATTTCCCTTGTCCTTACAGAGTTGTTGGTCTGGTGAGCAGAATTGCTGTAGTCTTAATGATAATTACCTAGGAGTAGTTGTCTTTTCTATAATTTAAACTATTATGTCATTTTAAAGTAATTAGGAATCATAGGATGTACAACAAAATGATTTCCAAAAAATTACAAATATTCTTTAGTAGTCTTATTGATGTATCTAATCTAATTTTTCTTTTTAGTTATACATTTTCTCTTTACTTTTTGGTATTTACATTGGAGATGTAGAATTTAATGGGAGCTAAAGAAGACCAGAAAGTCATTTACTAGTCTTCCATCTTCAAACCAAACTTACTCGACCACACCCTGTCCATGTCCCCCTTTTGATTATCCCTGAAGATCGGAACAGGACAATCCTAACTTATCTCTGTGTTGCCTAGAATGAACTATTTGAAAAAGCTAAAAATGAGATCCTTGATGAAGTTATCAGCCTGAGCCAGGTTACTCCAAAGCACTGGTGAGTATTAATCCTTGTCTCCGTGTCTTTTACTTTAAAGTAGAAGAAAGCATTGGTTTCTGTTGCCTGGGTTCATCCCTCAAAATGAAGTAGGCCAAAGAGTAAAGTGCCTCCTTTTAAAACAGCTTTAGGTGCAGCCTGTCAGCTGACTGCCTGTGGAATCTGCTCTGATCCTTGGTTTATCTTCACCTTGTTCTTAAGAAGTGCAGGTTTGCTATTTCTGTAGAATCACACATAATTTCTTAAAATTGTCAGAAAGTAACCTATCAGGACTGGTTTTTACTAACTGGAGAATGCATCACAGGGAACACTGATCTGTAAAAGAAGGATGATGTCTGCTTTTTAGATGTCATGCAAGACCAGAAGTAACTGGTGTTTTCTGTGACATGTATGTATTATGCTGTGCACAATAACATTTTTTTTTAATTTTTTGTGTGTGAGTGTTTTACCTGCATGTGTCTGTGTACCACATGCAGAACTGTTGCCCACGGAAGCCAGAAGAAGATGCTGGGTCCCCTGGAACTGGAATTGTAGATGGTTGTGAGCTGTGGTGCTGGGAATAGAACTTGTATCTTCTAATACAGCAGCCAGTACTTTTAATCACTAAGCTATCTCGGCAGACCCACTATTTTTCATATTTTTATTGCTTCCTCCTTTTTTTTTTTTTTAAGAAGTAAAAAAAGAGGTGGCTAAGGGGTTAAGAATACTGGCTGCTCTTCCAGAGATCCTGAGTTCAGTTCCCAGTGACCACATGGTGGGTGGTTCACAAGCCATCTGTGATGAGATCTGGTGCCCTCTTCTGGCCTGCAGGCATACATGCAGGCACTGTATACATAATAAATAAATAGATTTTTTTTAAAAAAATAAATCCATCCTTTTGAAAAATTGCCATATGAATCTTAGGCCATGCCTAAATTATCTTCCAATAAGCCTGTGGTATTTAAGAATGTATCACTCTTGGCACAAAACGATCCTTACACCATTCATGATACATATTTTTAGTGTTTATATTTGCTCAGTCAGCAGATTTTCACACTGAGTCGACACCAGCATCTCGTCCCTAAGTCTGGATTTGTTCTCACTGGTTTCCCTATCCCAGGCCCTTCCTCACTGATATCCTCCCCTTTCTTTAAGTCATCGTATTTGCCAAGGTTTTTAGTCTCCTTGTTTAGAAAGTAGTAGCTGCTCTTATTTTATACTGTTGACTGATTAATCAAATATATAGTGACACAAACTGTTGGGTTTCTTATTTGTATTTAAACCAGTCCTGTGACTTTGTATAACTGAGATAGCTCATAAAATTGCAAGAGAGATACAGATATATAGATGTGAGCATAAGTAAAATTTAAATGTATGTAAGTATAATTAATTAATATAATCTGGTTTCCTTCCTAGATTATATGGGGATAATATACATAAAAGGTGATTTGTAATCCATAACTAATGGGCCAAGGCTGCAGCTCAGTGGTAAAGTGCCTGCTTAGCAAGCCAAGGTCCTGGTTCTCTTCAGTCCCACCATAAAGGGGGAAAGCCTATAACTAATAGTATTATTTATGGTAGGAAAAGAAATGTCCTACTACTTATTGCCATAAATATGATTCGTTTTGTTTAGGAAGAGCAATGCTAAAATATTATGCTATACCCTCACTGAAATAAGCCTAAAGGTAAATCTGTTTTGTTTACTACACGAGGCACTTAACAGAGTTGTGAAGAGACAAGAAATGAGAGTTCCAGTGGAGAAGACACAGCTGAGAGCTAGAACATTTGGGCTGAAAATTCTTAGCTGCCTGATCAAATGACCTCTAGCGAGCTTTCTTGATCAGCTTGTGTTCTTAGACTCTAGAATTTGACATAAAGATCAGAATACCCAGTCCTAGCCTTAACTGCATTACACCAGAGAATTTCAGTAGCATAGCTGGGCCTACCTTAGAAGTTTTTGTTGGTGTTATTTATTGGCATAATGGCATTACATGGCACTTTAAGATAAATGCCTTAGTTTGAATTATTGACATCATAGGAGTGTGTAGTAAGTACTGTATGTCCTAATGGGACAATTCGTTATTTATTTACAGACATTCTGCATGCTTTAGTCATGTTTTATAAAGGAATCCCAGGGAGTTCAAATTAACACATAATTGTTACAGTAGTAATACACACATGGCATTTGTCCAATAATGTGTATGATCTAAAGATAGCCCCGCTGACAATAACTGAGATACTGGTATGCCGTTTGCATGTAGCCATTATTTCTAGCACAGTAATTGACTGGCTTTATAGAAATATACTTTGTGAAATCCAGTATTATGATATTGTGCAACTTTTGTGAAAGTTTATGTTTACTTTGATTGGTTTAACAAACTGAAATACAAAAGGGGAAAACATACAGTTGAATCCCCTAGCGCAGATGTGAGGAGTCTGAGAATTTGTGGTATTATAAATTTAATAATAAGAAATTATTGTCTTTTCTTTTTTAGAGATCTTATTCTTAAAGAATACTTCAAAAGGCAGAATTTCCAGCTTATATATGTGTCCTTTATACAATCCCCTTAGCTGTGAATTGCTGGAAAGTTTTATACGATGATATCCCATGTCTATGCTTTGTGATAGTTTGTTAAACTGTAAAAATTATATCAGAAACTTTTTGCCTTGAACTCCAGTAAACACATAGTGTATGTGAGGACTGAATTAATGAGCTCATGAAAATACACTTTTGAGTGTCCTCAAAAAGAAAATTTTTGGTGATTACTAGAGACCTGTAGCCACAGTGAGATGGCACTGGAAACCCACTCGACAGCCAGAGCTGGGACAGGCCGTGAGTGGAGAGTATCTGGGACCCTCCTTCTCTGCTGGTAGGAATGTAAACCACTGAGGCACTTTAGAAAAGAACGGTATCTTTAAAAACTAAACCCGAAACTGCCATATATTCACCCACTCCACTCTTAGTTGTGTACCCACGGAAAGGAAAGGCATGCATCCTTCCAAAGATTTGTGGCAATCTGCCCACAGCGATTTTGTTTGTAATAGCCAACAACAAGAAATAATACATGACCATTAGCGGGGGATTGTACACAGTCAGTGGTGCTTAGCAACAAAAAGAAGTGAAATAGTAATACATACACCACAGATTTCAAAAGAAGTATGTTGGGTGAATGAAGATAGGTAGAAGAGTGCATGATACATGTATGTAAAGTTCTAGGAAATACAAGTAGTTATAACAAGAGTAATTATAGATCCAATGAGGGTGTTTATCTTTATCTTGGTTCCTGTGATTCACTGATATACACATCCCAAATTTGCCAACCTTTCAAATATGTGTAGTTTATTACTGTGATTAGTGATACTTCAATCAAGCTATTTTAAATTGTTTAATGCCATATTTGACATTAATTTTAGGGAGGAAATCCTTCAGCAGTCTCTGTGGGAAAGAGTGTCAACTCATGTGATTGAGAACATCTACCTTCCGGCTGCACAGACCATGAATTCAGGAACATTTAACACCACAGTGGACATCAAGCTTAAACAGTGGACTGACAAGCAGCTTCCTAATAAAGCAGTAGAGGTTAGGATATAATTTAATTAAATGGGTAAGAAGCATTGTGTGGAGGAAATAAGTGCTTTGGATTGAGGGTCTAATTTCCCTCAGCCTCAATTTAGCACTTCACACACGCTCTGCACCTGCCTCTGTTAACTAACCTTGATATTGTTATCAGTTGCTGCTAACGTAAGTTTACTAATCAGGATGCTGTTTGCCTAAAGGCGTTCCTTCTCCTTCCAAAGATAACATTAATAAAACCAGCAAAACTGGCCTGAAGGTAAAGTATTTTGAACGTCTGTGAATTGAGCTTCTGTAAGGAGTATCTTCAAATGGACTAATGTTACCGTTTTTACATTTTCTTCAAAACCTTATAGCACTTGCATTGAGTTATGGTCTTGCTAGTTTTGACTTGGAATTATTTACAAAATTAAAGTACTTCAAAGTATACATTTCTGTCCCGAGACATCTTGGCCCAACCATGTGAAAACTGATAGCTGCCCTACTTGCTCAACCTTCCTGCAGCTTCTTCCAAGAAGCTGCAGTGACAGTATTGCCCACCTGGGTTGCGGTCAGGATTAGGTGAGTTAATAATATGTAAAATACTTAGGTAATACCTGACCCATCCGTAATAGCCACCCAGGGTTTTATCACCATTATCCACCTTTCTCCTGCACTCCAGCTGAGAGTCAGTGTGCCCTGGACTCTGAAAGGTGCTCAGCAACCTGTGGTAAAAGCTAGATGTGATTTTATTCTGCATACCTGCCTTGAAAATGGCTTTGCTCTTTCAGTCCTGCCCCAGCCTGCCCTCTTCACCACTGTCCTCACCTTCCTGGGCCCATGTCCAGCAGCTGCAGCTCGTACAGCCTCTGCCTATGTTGCTTGCAGCTGAACTCTGGCCATTTCTTGACCCACTTGCTATAGAAATAACTGGGGAGCTGCTGCGTCTCAGTCACTAGTTTTGGTATGTCCTGGGCTGGAACATTTGCATAGCCAAAGGTTTCACCAGTAAAACTAGTCCTTGTGACACCAGTAATTCTGCCTTTCTGCTTTCTGCCCTGGGCTTTATCTTGGGGGAAGAGTGAAGGTGATGAGAAGCTAGTAGGTTCATTCCCATCACATGCAGGCATGGAGGTACACTCTGGTAATCCTAGCTCTAGGGACACTAAATAAAGCAAGGGATTGCCCACAAGTTCACAACAGAACAAAATGAAAACCACCTCACCCCACCATCTACGTGTACATTCAGTTCTTCATCACTTTTGCCCTGCGCTCTTCCTTTCACAGTTGAGATTGGGTAAAAGTTAGCTGAGTAATAATTTGTAGTACTTGAAGCTTTTAATATGAATCTTTGCTTGCAGGCAAAACTGTAAAGATGATTGGCTTAGTGAGTAAGAACTTAAACTTGAACCGGGCAGTGGTGGTGTATGCCTTTAACCCCAGCACGCAGGATTCTGAAGAAGGATCCCTATGAGTTCGAGGCCAGCCTGGTCTGGAGAGCTAATTTCAGGACAGCCAGGACTGTTACACAGAGAAACCCTCTCTCAAAAAGGGGGGGGGGGGGGGACTTACATTTGGTTTGGTGTGGAAGCAGCAGGCAGACCCAGGCATGTAATTGATTGAAATAAGTAAAGTAAATATGTTTGCAGACTTGGGGTGTAGGGCTTGCCTAAAGGAGCCAACCCTGCTCAGCACAGTGAGCGCATCCTGTGGGAGATATGAGTTGATTATCTCCCTGCACTGTAGGTACAGATTTGTTAATCAAGTCTCAGTTTTTAAAATTGACAGCTTTAAGGGAAAAAAAAAAACAGGGCCTCTATGTCACCCTGCTATCCTGGAACTCACTGTGTAACCCATGCTGGCCTTGAACTCACAGAGATCCACTTACCTCTGCCTGCTGAATGATAGGACTAAAGCCCTATGTGCCTAGCTGAGCTGTCTTTTTTAGGGTGCATGCATTTATCAATGAACTTGCATTTCCTGATCAGCTGCTGTACCACATCTGTTTGGTTCTGTGCTGTTTTTTCATGTTGCACATTATTTAAGGGTAAGCAATCTAAATACAGCTTTTCCTTTTGTATCTAGGTAGCTTGGGAGACGCTACAAGAGGAATTTTCCCGCTTCATGACGGAACCCAAAGGGAAGGAGCACGATGACATATTTGACAAGCTTAAAGAGGCTGTGAAGGAGGAGAGTATCAAGCGGCACAAGTGGAACGACTTTGCAGAAGACAGCTTGGTAAGCCTTCAGCTGGTTAGGGCCTGGTGTGCCCTCTGTCTAATCAGAATGCCAGCATCGTTTTCACAGGGTGCCTCAAACTGATTCTTTCATGGAGTTCTTATACGGCTGCAGTGTCAAGTAATAGATGTATGATTTGTAACCTGCCCTTCAACATTCCTCTGGCTCTTCTAAAATAACCCTCTCTTCTTTTTTTCTTGACTTCCATTCCATAAGAAAAGTCAGATTTTGCAGTAAGCAGGTTCCCTTACCTTTCTACGAATTGCCATCATTGGTTGTTTTGGGCCTGTCTATAGGTACCTTGGTGTAAAATCATAGCAGTATGTATTGACTATCTGCTGTGTGCCAGGAACAACTCTTTTTTTTTTCTTTTTACATTCCTTCTAGTTTATTCTCTCTCTTTTTTTTAATTTAGTTATTTATTAAAGATTTCTGTCTCTTCCCCGCCGCCGCCTCCCATTTCCCTCTCCCTCCCCCAACCAAGTCCCCCTCCCTCGTCAGCCCAAAGAGCAATCAGGGTTCCCTGCCCTGTGGGAAGTCCAAGGACCACCCACCTCCATCCAGGTCTAGTAAGGTGAGCATCCAAACTGCCTAGGCTCCCACAAAGCTAGTATGTGCAGTAGGATCAAAACCCATTGCCATTGATCTTGAGTTCTCAGTAGTCGTCATTGTCCACTATGTTCAGCGAGTCCGGTTTTATCTCAGGCTTTTTCAGACCCAGGCCAGCTGGCCTTGGTGAGTTCCTGATAGAACATCCCCATTGTCTCAGTGTGTGGGTGCACCCCTCACGGTCCTGAGTTCCTTGCTCGTGCTCTCTCTCCTTCTGCTCCTGATTTGGACCTTGAGATTTCTGTCCGGTGCTCCAATGTGGGTCTCTGTCTCTGTCTCCTTTCATCGCCTGATGAAGGTTAATATTCAGGAGGATGCCTATATGTTTATCTTTGGGTTCTCCTTCTTATTTAGCTTCTCTAGGATCACTAATTATAGGCTCAATGTCCTTTATTTATGGCTAGAAACCAAATATGAGTGAGTATATCCCATGTTCCTCTTTTTGGGTCTGGCTTACCTCACTCAGGATAGTGTTTTCTATTTCCATCCATTTGCATGCAAAATTCAAGAAGCCCTTGTTTTTTACTGCTGAGTAGTACTCTAATATGTATATATTCCATACTTTCTTCATCCATTCTTCCGTTGAAGGGCATCTAGGTTGTTTCCAGGTTCTGGCTATTACAAACAATGCTGCTATGAACATAGTAGAGCATATACTTTTGTTGTATGATACGGCCTCTCTTGGGTATATTCCGAAGAGTGGTATTGCTGGGTCCAGGGGTAGGTTGATCCCGAATTTAAGAACAACTCTTAAGTATTTTTATTTGGTTTTGTTTTTTGGGTTTTTGTTTGTTTGTTTTGTTTTTTGAGACAAAGTTTCTCTATAGTTTTGGAGCCTGTCCTGGAACTAGCTCTTGTATATCAGGCTGGCCTCAAACTCATGGAGATCTACCTGCCTCTGCCTCCCAAGTGCTGGAATTAAAGGCATGCACCACCGCCGCCCAGCTCTCTTACATATTTTGGAAGCATCATTTGGTTGAAATTTTTTTCAGAGTGTGGGACCTTATATGTGCTAGGCAAGGCCTCTGTCACCAAGCTATATCCTCAGGTTCTTTTTCTTTAAATAGGATCTTACTAAGTTCTCCAGGCTGACTTGAATCTGTAGCCCAGGTAATCCTTGAACTGTCAGTCCTGCCTACATCTCCTAAATAGCTGGGGTGATGGGCTTGACCCACCAGTCCCAAAGCTTGATTGAATTCTGAAATGTTAGTGGGGTTTCGTTGTTGTGTAAGAACACCTGAGCTTGACAAGAGGGAGGGCTTTACTTGGGCTTATGGTTTCCAAGGTTTCCATCTGAGGGTTGCTTGGTTCCGTTGCTGTTAGGCCTGTAGAGCGAGGATCTGATAGGCAGGCATGGTGGAGAAAAGCTGCTTGGTTTGTACTAGCCAACCACAGAGGTGAGAGGACAAGGGACAAGAGACAGCCTTCAGAGGAAGTCCCACAGCCACCTGCTATCCTCAGCCCACTATCCAATGATGCCTTTGATATTTATTCATCAATGGGTTCATTCATTGATGAAGTTAGCACCCCCATGATCCAGTCACCTCTCAGTAGTACCAGCATCAGAAGACCAAGCCTTTGGTGGACACGACAGGTAAGGGCAGCCACAGTCCTGTCATGCTCATTGACAGAGTGGCTACTCTCCGCCTTCCCCACCTTCTCTAGCTCCTGACCTCTCCGCCTGCTGCCCCTTTCTTAACAGCGCATTCTCCTACCACCATAGTCAAACCTTGTTAGTCACCTCTTCTGCTAGCAGGGCCAGCTCACAAGAGGAACTGTTGAAGGGACTGGGCAATTTTCTAGAAAAGCACAGATCTCCCTGTGCGCTGTTTGTAATCATAATTTCATTTTGAAGAAATATTTGTCTGCATATTCAAAACCATAACCTTATTTCCCTGTGTGGTAGGCTGGTTTTCTAAAAGAAGTGCCAGTTTCATTGTTCACTCAAAAGTTATCAAATTTAGAAAACAGCTTTTAATTATAAAAATAATAGCTAATGTTTATGATTGGCAAAGTGTTTGTGCCCTTGCTCTGCCACTGTATTTCTGTTGACAACAAGAAAGTGGTGAATGATTCTTTCTTCTGTCCTGTTTGAAAATATTTCTTCATAGTTCATATGGGAGTAAATAAATAAATACAGAAGGGAAGTGACCCTCTGAATAAGATGGTCTAGCTCTTATGATTTATAGTCAAATGTGCTGTTTGCTTCCCTTGAGCGTCCCCTCAGTCAGCTCTTTAGCTTCAGACACACAAGACTCCACTTTATTTTTCAGATAGGAAACTGGCAGGTTCAGCCAATAAAAGGAGTTCCTGCATTACTGTGGGAATAACTTGCTGTTATGTGCTTATTTGTTATGTTCAATATTTACTAAGTTGCCAGCTAAAATAAAATTACTGACATGTAGGAACATAAATTAAATTAGCTTTTTCTGCCCTGTTTCAGAGGGTCATTCAGCACAATGCTCTGGAAGACCGGTCCATATCAGATAAGCAGCAGTGGGATGCAGCCATTTACTTTATGGAGGAGGCCCTTCAAGCCCGTCTCAAGGATAGTAAGTAGGAACTTGAGCTCTTGAGTTGTAAGCATTGTAAAATATAATTACCACTGGGCCAGCGAGATAACTTGGTGAGTAAAGCAATCGCTATGAAAGCCTGAGAACCGGGGTTGGGTCCCCGGAGCCCACGGAGGAGACAGAGAGAAGATATCCACAAGTCATCCTCTGGCCTCCGCTCACGCACTGTGGCACATGCACTTCCAAACTCACAAACGTGCCATATGTACACATACAGAATAAAGTAATTTTCAATATACAGTTAACTCTTCAAAGTCTTTGTCCTGAATACAGATAAATATATTTTTTATGTGTGAGTTGCTTTGTAGCTAATAAAGAGAATAATTAGGTTGGAACCGAGATGCTTACATTTATTCCTTACACATAGAAATTCTGTAAACAGTTGTACTTTTTATATATTTTAAGCACATACATAATTGTTCTACTTTTGCCATACCAATCATATGTTCCTGTATTTTAATTAATTTCATATTAATACAGCATTTAGAAATAATTAAAAAATCATAAACATTGTTAGCTATAATTTATAACCTTAGTAAGTGGTAAAAATTCCTACTTAATTAATTTTATCTTTCCTCTAGCTGAAAATGCTATTGAAAACATGATAGGCCCCGACTGGAAAAAGAGGTGGTTGTACTGGAAGAATCGGACCCAAGAACAGGTAGGAACAAAGACATCTCTGTTCTTATGATGGCATTTCGTTCATGGTCTTGTTTGCCGTAAAGTTATGGTTTTCTGTAGCCCAGGCTGGCCTTGAACTCACAGAAGTTCTCCTCAGCCTCTTACTTGCTGAGATTATAGGCATATGCCACCACATCTGCCTTTATTTTGCTCATTTCAGTTCAAGCATTAACACGCAGTCTTGGAACTAAAGATGCCTCAGTAGGTATGAGTTCTTGCTATGGAGGCATGGGACTTGAGTCCAGATCCTGGTACCCAAAAAAGCCCAGCATGGCTGCCTGAGCACCTGAAACTACAGTGCTCTAGGGGTGAAAACAGGAGGAGCCTCTCTGGCCACTAGCTGCCTGCCTAGCTCCAGGTTCAGTGGGAAAGCCTGTCTGAGGGAATAAGGTGAAGAGTGGCAGCCAGGGCACCTGATGTCCTCCTCTGACCTCTTTAGGTGCCCACAGGTGCCAGCAACCACAAGTGTGCGCGTACATCACACATCCATATACCAGGTCCACACTCAAACATACACGTGTATATATGTGTGAATGGACACGTACACATGCACATGTTTATATGCGTACACCATCTTCTCATGGCTCTAGAAGATTCTTTAAAATTTTAGTTACATAAACCTTTCTAAAATATAATGAATCTGTTTTATTAAAAGATTACAAAAATAAATAAAATGTGGTTCCTTTGTGGTTGACTACTTTGTTCATTTCAGTTCTCTGAGTTTCAGAGGAGAATAGTTGGGCTAGAAAAATGGTTTTGTGGTTAAGAGCACTTGCTGCTCTTATGGAAGACATGGCTTTGGTCAGTTCCCAACACTCACAGGACAGCTTACAACCAACCTGGAACTCGAGTTCCAGAGGATCTGACGTCCTTTGTGGGCACCAGACATTCAGATGGTGCACGTACATACATGCAGGTAAAACACCCATACCTAAAGTAAAATAAATAAAATCTCTTTAAATAAAGAATAGTTGTAAGCAAAAGACATGAAACAATCAAAGGATATGTGGCAGTTGTGCTTAGATTTTTGTGTATATAGTTTATTATCTCTGAGTTTTACTGTTGGAAGTTCATTCAAACTATTTTACCTTTTTGTAGTAACTTTGGTTAAAATGCATACAAAGTAAATATGAAAATTCAGATGGGGGCTGAAGAGATGGCCCAGTGGTTAAGAGCATCTGGCTGCTCTTCCAGAGGACCCGGGTTCAATTCCCAGCACCCACATGGCAGCTCACGCTTGTCCAGTTCCAGAGGATCTGACACTGTCACTCCAATGCACATAAAATAAAGCTAGATAAAATTTTTAAGAAAAGAAAGAAAAGAAAATTCAGATGGGAAGTATGATAGAACTCATCCTTTGTAGTAAGGGGCCACTTGTTTATTCCTGGCTGCTCAGCCCCAAAATAACCACACAGAAACTGTATTAATTAAATCACTGTTTGGCCCATAAGCTGTAGTTTCTTATTGGCTAACTCTTACATTGTAATTTAACCCATTTCTATGTGTATCACCATGTGGCTGTGGCTTACCAGCAAAGTTCCAGGGTGTCTGTTCCCAACAATGGCTTCGGGGTGTCTCTCAATTCCACCTCCTTTCTCCCAGCATTCAGTTTAGTTTTCCTTGCCTCGCTCTACTCTACCCTATCACAGGCTTAAGACAGTTTCTTAATTAGCCATTGGTATTCACAGCATACAGAGGGGAATCCCATATCAATCCTTTAGTAAATATTGAATGAGCATTTCAGAACAAAATGGCAAAGTTAAATATAAACAACTTTAAAAATGGGTAAATTGCAGAAAAGTGTATGTCACCCCTATACCAACCCCTTTTCATTCCTTTGAACTTTTTTGTTGTTGTTTTTTGAGACATAATTTTTCTGTATAGCTCTAGCTGTCCTGGAACTCACTGTAGCCCAGGATGGTCTTGAACTCACAAAGATCCCCCTGTCTCTTAAGTGCTGGATTAAAGGTGTGTGCCACCACCGCTTGGCTCCTTTTAACTCTTCTAGCTTCTTTCCCCTGAACGTCAGTCTCATCCTTCAGTTCTTAAACGGAAGAGCATAAATAGAATATAGAATCAAAATAGATAAATGAATGAAATAATAAGAAAAATAGGTGGTATCCAATTTACTTGCTTTTGCTTCCTGTGTTCACTGAATCTACTTAATTAGCAAAAGAGATGCTAAAATGTGGGGAAATTCAGAGGTAAAGAGAATAAAATACTCCCGAAGAGCATAACCTTATTTCCTTGTTTCTATTTGCATTTTAAATAAGTTAATGACATACATGATCAGTATCCTGTTTGTTTTCCAATGCCCTGCCCTCCTTGTTCTATAAGCTCCCTAGATTAAGTGATTTGCCCCTGAGTCAGCAGCGCATTTGTTCTCACTGCCATACAGATGGGCTGAGAAAAGGCCTGTCTAAAAGACCTTGTGGGACTGTCCATCAGAGTTCTCTGACTCAGACACAGGAAGAGACATTGATTAGAAATGGCTGGTATATGGCAGCTAAACTCAGTATAGTGCTGAAAGCCTCCAAAGCAATCAGTGACCACAGTACTAGCCTCAGCAGCTACTGGTAAAATAGACTAACTAGAGAGAGACGGCTCCTGCTCACACATTGTTTTTCTTCAGAATCCATTTGAGAGAAGTATCAAATGTTTTTTGTGGTCATTGCAACGGATCTATACTCCTAAAAGAGGAATCTGGAAGCCTTCCTAAATGAGCGTTCACCCCATTCCAAGCCCAGGGTAGCATATGTAAGATTCAGACTGACAATTTAGATGTAAGAGAAAGGACACCAGAATCTCCTGGGAGGTGCTTGTGTGTCAGTTTTGCTTTCTCCTTTAAAATATTGACTGACTTGAGTTCTCCTCCCCTAATTCTTCTATCCTTCCACATCAGTTGAAAACTGCTCATGTGTCCTTCTTACCTAGTAGGAAATGTACTTCAGGAGAGGCAGAAGGTGTCCCTGGTTAGTTTAGATAGCCGTATAGTTCCTCCTGCCTTCATGAGTGACCAGACTCAGCAAGAACAGAAACACCAGACTTCCCTTTGCTAAAGATGAGAAACCCAGGGGCTAGGGATATGGCTTAGCGGTTAAGAGTGCTTGCTACTCTTCCAGAGTTCTGTGCCCAGAACCCATGCCCCTCTTCTGGCCTTGATTTTCACAAGTGCCAAGCTTGCACTGTCTAAACAGCCTTCTTTTAACTTGTTACAGAGTGTTCACAATGAAACCAAAAATGAATTGGAGAAGATGCTGAAGTGTAATGAGGAGCACCCAGCTTATCTTGCAAGCGATGAGATTACCACAGTTCGGAAGAATCTGGAATCTCGAGGAGTTGAAGTAGATCCAAGCTTGGTAAGAAATACGGTACAGGAGTTGGGTACTTGGCTCAGTGGTAGATTGCTCATATAGCTAGCACAAGGCCCTGGGTTCAGCCCTTAGCTCTTGGAGTGGGGGGAGTACCATTGAAAGCCAGCTGAGGTGATGGGTGCAGTACTTGGAATGTGGAAACAGGAGTTCAAGGTCATCCTCAGCTACAAAGTGAGGCTGAGATAGCCCAGATTAAGAGGGACTGTTAATTAATACTTAGAAAATTGGATTTACTTAGATCGTTATAGCAATTCCTACAAAATTGATAAAGGGCATCCAGACCTTGTGTCAGTGCTGTTTTATATTTTTAGAGTACAACTGACTTGTGTAAATATGGCCATTTATATAAGCAGATATTTGTGTGTATTGGGAGAATATAGTTGTATTATTTTTTTTGGTAGCTTTATTTGTTTGTTTGTTTGTTTTAGACAGTGTCTCACTATATAGCCTTGGCTGACCTGGAACTCACAATGTACTCCAAGTTGGCCACAAAATCACAAAGATCTGCCTGCCTCTGCCTCCCAAGTACTGTACTACAATTAAATTGGGGCATGCCACATTCCCAGCAACGTTTATAGTGCTTACAGTCAATGTAGCTCAATTAGATATAAGTAGATTTAGGGGAAACATGCATTTTAATTTTTTATTGAAATAGATAAGACCTTTGAATCCTACCTAATTTCCCTCACTCCTGGTAAGAAAACAAGGATAGTCTACACATTTGGCCATCTTTTTTCTTAGTTTCAGAATACTTATTTGCAGCACTATTTTAAAACAGTTACTGGATCTATGTTTCCTGCTGCCTAGAAGTTAGAATGAAGGGGGCTGAAAATTTTAAAAGTCAGCTTAGGGCCTGGAGAGGTGGCTCAAACAGTTAAAAGCACTTGTTCTCACAGATGACCTAGGTCTGGTTCCCAGCACCCATGGTCCACTAACTAAATCCTTAACTCCAGTTTCAGAGTATCTGGCAGCCTCTTCAGACACTGCCCCCATTTGGTGCACCAACAGACCTAGAAGCAAAACACCCAGTAAAACCCAATTAGAAAAATAAAGCTAGTGAGAAAAGCAGCCTGAAAACCTTCTAGACACTGTGACTACGCTTAAATGCCACCTGCCTTGTTTCTGTACTAGCTTTAAATTTTACCTCCTGTCAGAACAGGAAAAATGGTGAGAACCTAACTGCTTAAGCTGCTGTGCATGTCACATTATCTATAAACTGAACATGAAACTTTTAGTTAGGTATAGATAGCTTGTCTACATGGTCCTAACTTTCATTAATGAAAGGCTAAAAGGCTGTTCAGTCGCCAATCGCGTGGTGAGTTCAAGGCCATCCTGGTCTACAGAGCAAGTCCCAAGACAGCCAGGGCTACACAGAGAAACTCTGTCTCAACAAGGAAGTGGGGGAGGCGTGCAAATTGAGCATCTGATATCCTGATTCAGAAGAGAAAAGTCGAAGTGCTCCAAAACCTGGAACCTTTACCACTCCAGCTTGATATCGCAAGAAAATTCTTCATGGCACTGAATCCAGGCATACTATTATAGTACAGAAAATTACTTTTAGACTATGTGTGTAAGGTATATATATAACATAAGTGAATTTTGTATTTAGACCTTTATCCCACCTCTGAAGTGTATATGTAAATATTACAAAATCACCGCACCCAGCAATCCCAACTGCAGAGAGTTCTATCCCATGATGTTGGTCAGGGTTACTCGAGCTTTGTGTACCTTGATACTTTTAATTTTCTGACACTTAGGTTAATGCAGTAGTGATTTTCTCTTGGAAGTAGAGTGGAACAGGTTGCCACTCTCTGCATGCAAGAACATCTCAGGTTTTTTTTTTTTTTTTTTGTAACACTGTTTAGTACATTCTGTAAGGCTGCCATACCAGCCAGAGAACATGGGCTGTCTGGGATGTGGATTCTCAGGTCGTTCCACTGTATTACTGGTACTGCTCCCTTTAGTGATTGGTACTCAAGTCCCACTTTTCATCTGTCCAATGGGGTTGGCACTTGTGCTGCCTGCTAGCGTTATTGTTATTAGATATGATGAACATTAAACATGCCAAGAAACCATAGTGCCACAGTGGTGGGATACTGTTGTGTGACAATGTAACCATAGAAAGGATTGCTTTCTGACTGGTATTGGTGGCCGTAGTCTGAGACCAGCTTCCAGGTCCTAATGGTGTCCATAGACCAGGCTTTCAAACTCTTGCCTTGGTTTCCCCACTGTACCTATGCAGAGATCATCCCTTACCAGCCTACTCTCCAGTGAGTGTGTGACTGATTGGTAGATGTGGGAGTCTGAAAACTAGTAAGTCTGAAAGCTGACTGAACAGGGACAGAAGTGCATTTAAAAAGGTGGCACAACGAGAGTGTTGCTGTTGCTTCAGTGAACTTCCGAAAGTAAGTTGTGTATGCAACTTCTCAGTGCTCAGCAGCGGCTATCACAACACTTCGCTTTTCCTTTTCTCGTTTCAGATTAAGGATACTTGGCATCAAGTTTACAGAAGACATTTCTTAAAAACGGCCCTAAATCATTGTAACCTTTGTCGAAGAGGTTTTTATTACTACCAGAGGCATTTTATAGATTCTGAGGTGAGGTTTCACAAAGCAAAAGAAGTCATTTTTAGCAACAGTTGTTGAAAGATGCTAAAAAGCAAACTTCAACTTTACTATTAACTTTAAGCCCTTGAGCTTCTGGGAGAAAAGAATGTGTAACTTGTCAAGAATAACGTTTTATCTTTTCAAAGATTCACCAATTTAGGAATAACTTGACTTCCATGTGTATCATCAGGGGTAAAGGAAAGGGGGGCAGTCGTGTGTACCCCAGAGTGACTTGAAGCATGTTTATGTTTTCTATAAGGAGAGGATGTGTGTAGAGCATAGACAACCACATGTGTGGTGGGGACCATGTAGCAAAACTTCTTTATTATGCACTTTTATGTGTCATAATTTTCTCACATCACTGGATTCTTGCTTTTTCTAAAAGAACCAAGTTCTTGTAATGGATATAGCTCTCACACCTTTTAAAGGAACCCCTAGGTGGCAGCAGACTGATGCTTTTCAAGCATTTTCTTACAGACAAAAATGCCCCTTGAAAAGCTCTGTTAACCTGTGTTGTTATTAAATTGAAGCTTCTGAGTGCTTTTCTGGTTTATTTCAGCTCAAAGGAAACATGTATGCATTATTAGATAAGCGCTGGTATGTTTACTAAAGCTTAGGAAATTAGTTCTATGTGTTCAATAAAGGTTTTATTTTTTAATTTGTGTCTGATCTTAATTGTTTACTACTTCAGCTGGAATGCAATGATGTGGTCCTGTTTTGGCGAATACAGCGCATGCTGGCTATCACTGCCAATACGTTAAGGCAGCAGCTTACAAACACTGAAGGTAAGGTAACTCCTAAAAAAACTGACTGATCAGAAAAACCTCAGAATCGTAATCTGCTTTAAAATATTAATTAAAAAATTACACTTAGAAAATGATAGGGATAAGAGATGCTATATGTCTACTTTCATTAGATAAAAATTATGGTAAAGAGAGTGGTGTCCTGAACTTGCTTTGTGTGTTTGGAATCTGTGTGTCTGTTACATGTCGGCTTAAGAACATGTGGTCCTCAGAATATGGGTCAGATTTATTGATGAAGGTACTAGAAAATGAGAAATGTAAATTCAAGTGTAGAGCTAACATGGTGACACGTTATTTTCTTTGCACGTGGAAATCTTTGATTCTGTACATTCATAAAAGCTGTTCTTCTGGGTTTTGTTTTTAACTTTGAACAGTGAGGCGACTGGAGAAAAACGTTAAGGAGGTCCTAGAAGATTTTGCTGAAGACGGTGAGAAGAAGATTAAATTGCTTACTGGCAAACGGGTTCAGCTGGCTGAAGATCTCAGTAAGTAATTCCTCCCATCCCAACTTCCTGGATCCCTTCCGTATACCCTTGTGTCTACGCCCATTTAATCTCAAGCTTAAAGGAAAGTTACAGCTCCTAGGAAGAACTTGTTTTCTTCTGAAGGACTGAAATACAGCATTGACCTAAAATCTTATCACTTCCAAATACTTGAATTTGTGTTTCCTAGGAATAAAGATTCTTCTCTTAGCAACTCCCAAAGTCTGAATGTACCTAGACTCATTCATCTTTTATTCAGTGGTGCTCTACCGTTTGACACAATGGTCCAGACTCATTCTTTCTTTCTTCTTTTAAAAGAATGGTATTTAGAAATCAAGTTCTGAGAACTAGATATGCTTGATGTTAGTAACATATGAATTCCCAGGCCTTCTCAATAGAAAGGGTGTGTGTGTGTGCGTGCGTGCGTGCTTGTGTGTGTGTGTGTGTGTGTGTGTGTGTGTGCTGCTCATACATCCACTCCTAATTGTATTAACCAAAGACTGAAATGGATGCTGGTACTTCCAACTTGTATCCAATTCTATCAAGTTTTTTCTTAGCTTTGCTCCTTCCTGTGCTTGTAACTCCTTCTGACAGTGAGAACCCAGCCTCTAGACTCCTTAGCATAGTTACTTATTTTGATCAGTCCTCTTAATGTATAACCAAACTTTTTGCTGCCCCTTTCATTACAAAAATGGTCTTTTCATCCCGCTTGGACTCTTGGCCATCTTGTACCAGGTCACCACCACAGTTCCTCACTTTGTGTCCATGTGCTTCTTGCCTTGCAGGCTGGGGCATCCTGTTAGAGGCTACTCTCCCTCACGGAGTTCTGTCACCAGCCCATGCTCTGACCTTGTGTCCAGGAACTCCCCATCTCATCTTGAGTCCTCTCCCCTGAAGCCAGAACAGGCTTCGTCTTGCTTGTAGTCCAGCACCCTACATCACGTTACCCCACACAGGTCTGCATCATGGGACCAGGCTGTCAGCACCCCATTACCTCCAGCTGGACTTTTGCACCTGTCATCCCACCCCAACCTTATTTGTTTGGAACACGTTTGGTTTTTAAATGGTGAGTTCCTGGCATGGAGGCTTGCTTGGATTTTTGCGAGCCCGAGGCGACCACAGAGGCACTGCTATTGCTAGTAACTGTTGGTAGTCAGCGCCCCATCAGAATCTGTCTAGTTGTAAGTGTCCCTTTGAGCCAATGAAATTGCTTTTCCTTTCAGAGTGTACTTAGATCCATGTGCTTTTTGGCATGAAAGAAAACACACACTGAATAGGAAGAAGCTTTTCAAGTTTGGGTACAGTCTGTAAACTGAGTTTGTAGTTCTGCAGTCAGTCATGAAAATGTCCAAAAGAAGCAGGCAAGGAGTTCCTGATTCTGTGCCCTGCCTCAGCACTGCTCTCCTTTCCTCGTCTGCCCTGCCTCGTCTTGTTTTCTCTTTTTGGCTATCTGGGCTTCCATTGCTTTCTCTTGCTACTCTTGCTTTATTCTTTTTTATTTTATATTTTAAATATATCTCATTGTACTTATTTCCATTTCTGCCATGTTTGGCTGTTTCATGGCTCTGTGGCAGTGTAGTTAAGTTTGTACTCGGCAGAAGCCCTGTGTGCAGGCCTGGCCTGCTGTTTGTCTGTTGTATTGTACAAAGGAGCCCTCGGAGCCCTTCTTTACTGGTAAAATACAAGCATTTGGAAAACCCTGACTTGTGATTCCATACTGTTTGTACTGTTACAGGCAAAGGCTTGCCGTTGTCATGGTGTGTACAATTCCTGTGTCCCTCAGGACATAACTATTAGACGGTGAATTACTTCGTTGAAATTTTCCAGCTTCTGCATTTTAAAGTGACAGAAAAGTGATGTGCTTTTTCATAACTTAGAATAGAGTAATTCTGTACAGCTCCCATTACTCGCTGGTTGTAATTTGATTATTTAAACAAGGTATGCTAGTAACTCAGGTATGTGCTCTGCCAAGCCAAGTTCCCTGTTCTGGTAGTTTTCCTAAGAAAACAGTCATACAACCCCTTGAAGTGATTTGTGACTTTTGTGCAAACAGAGTTATGGTGTTAATGTTCCCAATAATGTTCTTAAAAGCAGGGGTTTCACCCCTGACTCAGCTTCATCAGTTACACTAAGGGAGATGAACCTCGACTGCCTGTAGTTTGAAGAGTTCTGAAAGTGCCTTTTCCTTACTGTGGCTCTTCAATCCAAGGCCTGAGAATATAGTCGTAGGTGCTTCCAGCCAGGCCACCCTTTAGGTTTTTTAGGTTTGTTAGTCACAGCTGTATTGTAGGGAACAGGGTATCTAGTATTGCAGATGCATTTAGGATATAGTATGGTGTTACAAGGAATGGGGCCCCTTGTTTGGCCCGGCCGCCTGGCTAGCTTATACCCAAAATAACCACACAGAAACTATTAATTAAAACACTGCTTGGCCATTAGCTCTAACTTCATATTGGCTAACTCTTACATATTAGTTTAACCCATCTCCATTAATCTGTGGCTTCCGCCTCAGTTAAGCTTCTGGCGCGAAGGTCACGGACAAGATGGTGCCCCCAGTTCAGGTCTCTCTGCTCATCAAGCTTGGCCGATACTCAGCCCTGGTCCTCGGCATGGCCTACAGTGCCAAGCGCTATAGTTACCTAAAGCCCCAAGCAGAGGAGGAGAGGAGGGTGGCAGCGGAGGAGAAGAAGAGACTAGATGAGCTGAAACGGATTGAAAGAGAACGGGCAGAAGCTCAAGATGACAGCATACTCAAGTGAAGCGCCAGTGAGCTTGCCTTTCTTAAGTCGCTGAGGATGAATAAAAGCTTTGTCGTGCGAAAACAAAAAAAAAAATCTGTGTATCGCCACGTGGCTTATCAGAGATTCTAACCAGCATCCATCTGAGGCAGAGGATTCATGACTTCTCCCTGACTCTGCTCTTCTTCCTCCCAGCATTCAGTTCTATCTTCTCCTAAGTTCTTCCCTATCAACTAGGCCAATTCTTTATTCATTAACCAATGAAAGCAACACACAAACAGAAGGCCCTCCTACCCCAGTATGGGGCAATCAAGAGATTTAAGTAAGTTCACAATTGTAAAGAGTGCTGTCACGTAAAAGTTAGTAAAATGTTGGTGGCATTCATGCCTCACCAGTCATAAATTCACCTGTCTTTCAATTCTTCATCACTTTGGATATTCATCAGCTGATCGTTCATTGGTACGTAGTACATTATTCTCTTAGGATTCGTTATCATCTTCCACCAAAGTAAAGCAATGAAACACAGTTAGGAAGAGCAAAGACATGGGAGAAAGCCCACTTCTTGTGTGAGGAGGTTTGTTAGAGAAGTTAAGACTCTTTGGACACACAGTGGTTTCTGTAGCTGGAGCATGGGAAGGGCAGGACACAGGGCCAGAGAGTGGGAGGGGGCATACGCGGTGGTAAAAAATAGAATGGTTTATCTTACCCCAAAAAAATGTCAACAGAAAATAACTGTAAAATATTGTATTCAAAGAAAATACCTATGCATTTTTAAAGTGAAAGGTAACTGTCATAGAACCTAAGCAGTTACCATCTGAATGTCTCAAAAAGAAAAAACAAACACCACCACCAAGAAACAAAACAAAACCCACCAAAAAAACAAACAAACAAATAATAACTTGGGTTTTAGTGGACTGTAGTTAAGTAAAAGAATTTCACTATGTACTGATGAAACTTATCTGTTGTTACTATTGCCCAGATATTCAGCTTCCAAGGCAGGGAAAACAAGACAACAAATCTCAGACTGCAAGTACTCTTATTTCATATGGTGACAATTACTGACAATCTGATAGATAATTCAGACATCCACCCTCACAGTTGGTACCGCATTTAGATACTGTAACAATCTGTTGAACTTCTTCACAGTGGGCTGTTCACACATAGTGGGAGGTACTGTGAATAAGAATTGAGGCAGGAAGATGAGCTGTGTATCTCACTCAGTGGTCCATGAGGTACTCAGTCTTGACATCTTCACAGAACACATCTATGAGTCTCATTTTCTGTATTTTCATGTGACACTGATCTTCTATTAGCTAGAAACTTTTTTTTTCTTCTGTTTCATCAAAAAACCAAGTAAGCCACCCAGCTCACAGAAAGCTGCAACACTATAAACAGCTTATCCCTCCAGAAAACATCTACTGTCACCAGGCTTCATCACATCTGAATGTTATTGTAAACGAGTTGGAAACAAGAATATTCTCTTAAATAATCACAACCAAACAATGAAGCCTTAGATTGGAAACAAACCAACACTGGTGTAGCACTTCCAAGAAACACCAACCTGACTTTCTGAGAGCCCTGCTGATGCCCTTGGAACAGATTCGGTATTTTAGGTCCTCTAGTTGCTCTCCTTGTGGACTGTGTCTTTTGTCTTGCCTTGTCTTTGATGAATTTGAGCACTGCAGGCCCTCTGTGTAGCCCTGGCTGTCCTGGAACTCACTCTGTAGGTTGGACAAACTCAGAGATCCACTGCCTCTGCTTCCCAGTGCTGGGATTAAGGGTTTGCACTATCACTACCAGGCTCCAAGTTATTCTTTTCATTCCTTGTATCTTCAGAGTCAGCCAAGAATTAAAGGGACATTTGCGGTCATTTAGACAGCTTGCTCTGAGAAAGGATTCTTTCCCCATTTTTGTTGGTTTTTTTTTCTAGCACTCTATCCACATATAGTTGTTTATGTGTGTGAACTGATACTTGCTCACTTGTCTTGAGCCAGAAAACTGCTTTCCATAAGTTCTCACTGGGGTCTGCACTGCAGCCTTTTAAAGTAGCTGTAGCTATTTTTCTCATTTTACAAATTAAGAAATGGAGACTTAGAAATACGTAGTATCTGATCCCAAATTGTTTTAATTTATTAGAAGGAAAAATTCCCAGCTTTGGAAAGTATACACACATACATATATTTGTAGATGGAGCTGCAGGCAAGCCTGCTTTTCGTCCTGCCCAGCTCCTGCACGGCTAGCTTAGCCCCAGAAATAACAACACACAAATTGTATTCTTTTAAACACTGCCTGGCCCATTATATCTTGCCTCTTCTTGGCTAACTCTCACATCTTACTTAACCCATATTTAGTAATCTGTGTAGTACCCCGAGGCAGTAGCTTACCAGGAAGGATTCTAGCCTACGTCCATCTTGGGCCGGAGCTTCATCGCGTCTGACTTGGAGAGGAGAGGCATGGCGTCTGCCTCACTTCCCTTCTTCCCAGCATTCTGTTCTGTCTACTCCACCTACCTAATTTTCTGACCTATCAGGCCAAGCAGTTTCTTTATTGATTAACCAATGAAACAACAGATTGACAAATGACCTTCCCACATCATATATTTACCCTTTTGCATTGGTATGTGTACATAGTGGCGTGTCTTCCATCCCTCCTGCCTTGTAAGAAGTTTGGAACTAAGACTTCCACTCTGTGCAAACATCTGGTTAAAGAAACACCAGCATGCTTATGAAGTCAACAGCTGAACTGAAGGAATGCATCTTCTTTGTATGGCTGGAAACTGTCTCAAGACTGCCAGATCCCACTATCATCAGAGTTGCCAAAACCTAGATATTCCCCCTATGCTGGTCTCAGCCTCACTCTGTATCTAGAATGACTTTGAACTTCATGCTTGACTTGCTCTTTGCTCTCACCTTCTGAGTACTTGATTAAGTATTCCAGGCCCAAAACACCAGGGCTTCTCCCATGCTCATCAAACTCTCCCAAAGGAGCCACAGCCCCAGGCCCCAAGCTAAGAGCTCTTCAGTGAGGCTGTGTTTATGAGCTATGAGATACACCAACCCTTTCAACTTTAACTGGCTGTCATTCTAGCTTTATGGTTTTTGTTGAGCAGGATTGAGAGTGTTAAAATGTTCTCTACCAAATTTCTGTACATTCCTTCACATTAACCAATATAAATATAAAATAAAGAAAAATACATGAAATATAAAAACATTAATGAACTCTGACTGTTATTGTGCAGGCTTACTTATTGTAATATTATAGTTGAATAGCCTTCATGTTAAAAGCAGTAAAATCAAAGTCGCTGTTAATTTAGAATTTTGCAATATCCCTCTCCCTGCCCCCAGTTAATCTGCTCTGCTGACTGCCTCCATCCTACTCGAGGTGGCAACAGCTGGCCTTTGTCCCCGAGCTCAGAGGGATTAGAGAGCAGGAGAGCAGCAGCATGCTCGGCCTCTTGCCTCTGTTGACTGTTCTTTATTGTTTGATGCCTGAGCATCTCCCAGACAGCAAGCAATTGTTACTGGAAACTTAGAATTTGTTTCTCTTGAGCATATACAATGCTTCTCGGACTCCTCTTTGTGTTCGTTCACGTTCCCACTCTCCTCTTATCCGCCATCCTGTGCTTTCTCTTGATAATTAGAAAGGCACAAAGATACAACCTTTGTATCTTAGGCTGCATGACATTCACTTGTGACACTAACACTTAGCCATAGAGACTACAGATACAAGGGGTTTTGTCTCTGAATTACCAGAATTCAGCAACGTGAGTCATGTTTACTATGAGATCTGTTCATTGTGGTTAATATTATTTAATGACAGAAAACAGATATACTTGTTCATTTTTAAATTATGATGACAAAAAAGAAAGCAACAGAAGAATGACCAAAGACTTCATTTGCAAACCTATGGTTAGGACTTTATCAAAACCGCTGAAGTCTATAAGGACACTTTTGGTGACTCAAACACCATCCTAATTTATAGGCTAGTCATAAGGATTTCTTCATGCCCTCTTAAAATCTGAATTAAAAAGAAGGTAGGCTATAACTAATAGAACCTTAGTTACCTGGAATGTTTTTATGCTATTGTATCTAGAAAGGAAAATTATCAGGTGAGTCTGGGATTTAGTTTCTGTTGATTGCTTTGTATTTTTAATCTTCCCCAGTGTTTGCTGCTATCATAGATGAGGTCCTAAAAGATGTGGGACTAAACACCGCCCCACAAGGGTCACTTTATTCTGAACATGGAACCTAAATGGCATAAAAGCAAAGTTCTCTGGTCAGTCACCACCATCACTTACTTCCCCGCCCTGTTTATTCTGGAGAGTTCTTCTGTTCACAGCAAGGCAATTTTCTCTCCATTAGTCGGGGTAGTGTGTGGCTGTCACAAATCTGTTAAGTCGTTTGAACTCCAAATGCGGTAGCATGTCACTTTCGTCTATGTAGACTTAACAAAGGAAGTCAGTTTTAACAAGTTTTAAAGAAAAGGATAGCACTGAGATTAGGTACCTAGGTCCAGAGAAGAAAAGTGGAGACTTGAGAGGTGGCCCTTTATTACTCTTGCAAAGGCCCAGGTTCAGATCCCAGGACTCACAGCAAGCAGCGCACAACTGCCTGTAACTCCACCTCATTCTGGCCTCTGTAGACACCAGACACACAAGTGACATACACACAGATATGCAGGCACTCACACATACACATAAAACAAAAAGAAATAAATCTTTTGAAAAGAAAAGAGTGAGGTGCAGTCAGAACACAGGAGAAGAAAGCATGAGAACAGGACTGAGACCTCTTGGCCTCATCTCTCTCGGTCCTCTTGCTTTTTCATCGGCCCCAGGACCATTTTGTCTTTCCTTCTAGGTCATTATCATTTGACCTAAGCCAGTATTTTTCCTCTTGCCTGCTTACTTGCTTTCCCTCGGTGTTGAAAGCATACTCAGCTACTGCCATGGTTGTGTAATTGAGCAGAAAGAAACTGCCTTTCCACTACCCGATGTAAATCGGCCGAAATAACCATTTAAAGAAAATACTCTGGTGTCTGTTATGATTGACTCACCCTAGCAGAAGGATCTGGTTCATTTCTGACTACTGTAGCTTGTGTAATATATCATACATGGTCAGTGAATGCTTGATCACTATCTTAATACTGAGTTTTATTAGCCCTTCTCTGTAC